ACAAGTTCCTCAAGTCGTCACCTTTTTCTGGGGTTTTACAGCCTTCTTGTCACACCTCAGCACTAAAACACCAACCGCCGCCTGATGTGTATTTCGCGAAGGAGGGTGTAGAGAAACGATAGGACAACAAGAAGAATAGTGAACGCTTGGCATTCTCCTGCATCTCGCAAATAAGGCCAGTTAGAGAGAGGCAGAAAAGTCATCATGATGCCATATGTGAGCCTCATCGCTCGGATATCCGATTAGCTCAATGGGCCGAATATGATATGCTGCTATTATTGGTAGATCGCTTCTCTGGCACCATTGGCAAAAGCACACTCTATAGTCGCTTATGAAACTAACAAGCGGGTATATCTGACCCGGCAGCATAAACATTTGCGGCTATCGAAAAGCCGCAGGCCCAGAACCATGGAAATGCTTTGGCCGCCGTCGATGACCCGGAAATGGTGATAAGTCCCAAGCAAAAAGCTGCGCGCCGGGCAAAAAGATCCAGACACATAATGAGTGGCAATCACTTATGCTTTCTACTATACTCTCATGGGCGCATCTTCAGCCTCACACGAATGCAAGCCCCGACGCTGCCGCGAAGTCTAGAGTTGATACATGAAGGGCGAGACACGGTTTGCGATCTAATCCCATGTGCATCCCACAGCTTTCACTCAAGAAGCCAAGGCCAGCAATTGGATCGATAAGCCGATACGGGCATGACGCCCTTCCCACCCTCCATGCATCTTTCGGCATAAGGGGGCGTTTAAAAACCGAGAATCTCGAGGAGGGGTTCGCCATGCTCGCTGCTGGCCCATGAGCACATGTACGTACCCGCGGCCCGCCTTTGTTTTCGCAACGCTTTTGCCGTGCAGCGCCAATTGGCAAAATCATGTACTCTGTTAGTCCCTCCAGACAGACAGGCTCGAGTCTATCGTGAACTACCCCTTGCAGTGCTGATCCCATCATCTTCTAAGCTGGGCTGGCTGAGCTGCCATGGTGTTTCCATAATGGGAATGTTTTCCTAAACTTTCATGGCTGGTACTTCTATTTGATCTGTAAATAAAGAGGGTTGCGCAGGAATTCAGAGTCTTTGCTGCCGGGTTTAAGCTAGCTGGGGGTGCCCATATATCGAGATTATATATCCTTTCCCCATGAAACCGAGACCAAACGTGCTAGTTAACTTACTTTACTCCCATTGTCTCTCCTCCCTTTCAACTGTATCTTTCCTTTCTTTTCTTTTTTTACCTTCTCACCATCATCAACATCCAACTTGTGTGTGTGTTGTAAGATCTTGCATCGAAACAACAACACAATGCAACTGGTCACGCAACTCATCCTTGGTGCCGTCTTGATCGGCTTCACGGTCTTCAAGGCGTACCAGTCCTACAAGGAGAAAAATGATGCCAAGTATCCGATAGGCCCTAGGCAGATGCCCTTTGTTGGACGCATCCACGACCTGCCTATCCAATTCATGTGGCTCAAGTTCAAAGAGTGGGCAGAGATCTACTCTGGCAACAAGGGCTTCTATATGACGGACATGTTGGGCGCCAAGTTCCTCGTCGTCTCCGAGGAAAAGGTCATTGAGGATCTCCTGGTAAAGAAGGCCAAGCACAACTCGGATCGCCCTGTCATAAGGTCACTCTTTGATTCCAAGAGCTCGCATGGATCCATGGAATATCTACCACTAATGGGTAGAAATCGTAAGTAGAACAAAAATAACCCTACTCCTATTGAGTCATTTCTCAATGGTGTTAAACGTTGTGATACCTTTTGCTAATCCGATGCCCTCAGAATACTGGGCTCGTCAACGCAAGCTTCAACATTCGTATCTCACCGAAGCAAGCAATGCGCAATACTATGGAATCATGAACCACGAGGCAAAGAGATGGCTGGCACGACTCATTGAGAACCCCGACAATTTTCAATTCTCTCTGGAAGATATGGCATCAAAGGTCATGTGTACACTGACCTGGGACGACCCCAGCTTGAGCGAGTACTGTACCAAGAGCGCTTGGGGGCTTCTTACACAAATGTCGCCGGCGGGACCCATCACAAACGTCTTGACACCACTCTGGCACCTGCCCTGGCACTTCAACCCCTGGCTTCAAGCCGAACGCAAGCGCCATGACGAGCAGCAGGCCTGGTGGATGGAGCGACTCCTTACGACACGCAAGAAGGTCGAGGCAGGCCAGCAACGCCCTTGCTGGACGCGTCAGTATCTCGAAAAGATGGAGAGCAAGAACGTGCTTTCTGGAGACTACGAGAGCTCGTCGGCGCTCGGCATGTTGGCGCTCGTGGGCATCTTTACCGTCGCCGGCCCCCTGTCGTACTTTCTCGTCTCCATGGTCCACCACCCAGAGTGGCAAGCCCGCGTACAGCAGGAGATTGATGAACAGTGCGAGGGCAAGCTGCCAACCATTGCCGACATGCCCAAGCTACCAATCTTGCGTGCCTGTCTGAAAGAAACTATGCGATGGAAGCCAAACGTACCAACTGGTATGAAGAAGTCATCAATGAATTATTTTCAAACAGAGCAAATGATACTGACAGTAGCTGCAGGTGTTGCTCATGAAATGGAGCAGGATGATGTATATCAAGGCTATTTCCTACCCAAAGGAACACGCATTCTGCCACTGGACTGGTAAGTCTACTATGACGACGTACTTGGAGCTTGTGCCAATCGCTAACAAAATCCGCAGGGCATTCCTACGAAGTCCTGTCAAGTACCCAGACCCGGAGACGTTCCGCCCAGAGCGCTGGATCGAACCTGGCTGGCCTACTTACCAGGAGCCACTGACCCAGTTCCCAACCATCAAGGGAATGTCATCATTTGGTTGGGGTCAGAGGCAATGCCTGGGCATGACGCTGACGCAGGACGAGCTGGTCGTCGCTTGCGGTGCGCTCATGTGGTGCTTCAACTTGAAGCAAAAGGTTGACCCCAGCACGGGCCAAAACCTCCCCGTGCCGCTCAACAAGTCTAATTCGCTTCTCATCATCAAGCCCGACCCCTTCCAGATGGCTTTCGAGCCCCGGAGTGAGGAGCGCAAGCAAGAGGCTTTGAGACTTTGGGCCGAGTCCGAGGCTCGGGACCTCCAGGAGAGGGCAGACTTCTTGGGCCAGGCCGCCAGCTTGCCAGAAGATCATCTGGATATTGAGACTACAACCATTGTGACTTTTGCCGACGAGAAGGCGGTACGAAAACCTCAAATTACAATCTCGGAAAAGCAGGAGAAAATGGCACATTGGGTCAAGACTGTGGAAACGGGCCATGCGTCATTGATGGATTAGTATTGTCCCATTCGCTCTTCTTGTCCTTGTTGCCACACATTTTCTACGCATATGGATTGGGTCAGGCTATCACCAGTTCAGTTGGAGTTAAAAGAGGTTGCATTTAATGAGAGGGATTTCCCCGCCAGCTTAGCTATGTTCATACACACACATCTGGTTTATATTACATACAGAGATAAATTGACATATATCAATGATAAGGACCACAAGCGCTTGTTTCTTTAGTGGTATATTCCAGATTGTTCACCACGCATAGGTCTTGTCTGATTGCCTAGCTCCTCTATGTACGCGAAGTCTTATACTTCTTATACATCATGATTCGTTCCTGTAAATATTCATGGCAGATTTAGCAGGTAATGTCTCCTTTATTTTTCGTTTTCCCCCTTGGGTTGGACTTTCGCCACCTTGCCGTTTTGTGTTGCTTTGGTACATGCATTGTCTCGGGATTGATGACGCCAGAGATGACATCCCATCCACTCGGTTCGCCGTCACCCGAGTGAACTGCCGTGTAACTGTCTGACGATCTCATTTTCTTGGCCGCACCTAAGCTTCTTCCCCAACGGTTGTCCGGTCAGGAGGGTTGACAATCTATTTCCAGAGACAAGCCACCCCTCGATAAGGTTCAGCCGGGCAGCGTCTTACAGGGTTGACATGGCTTAGACCGCTAAGGCAGGTCCTAGCCCAGGGACTCCGAAATGTTGTTGTTGGCCGAGAGTGAGCTGACAGGAATATCGGACGACTCCTTCCTTTTTATCGTCTGATGCACTGGATGAAGCTTTCTATAATTGATTCGTTGCACCAGACTGAGAGTAAAAATGTTGATTTTCTGGTCATTGTATTGATTTTATTTTTTGCACACATACCTGCAACAACTTTCACGATAGAAACTCGCAATTTTTGCTCAAAAGAATAATTGTACCGTCTTCTTCAAGGTTATTTCAACGACTACAGTTCATAACGATTTAATCTCAATCCACAAACAAACCGCCAAAATGGTCTCCATTGCTCCTGAAGCTGTCGTCGGCACTACCATTGCCCTGTCTTATATCCTTTTGGGAAATGCCATCACCCAGTCCTTCATGGGCGTACCAGCGCTGCTGGTAGATTTCCCGGCGCCCTCGTCCCCGGACCACGCAGCGCGCGCACGCCTACTGGGCCGGCAGTGGCCCGTCTTCTGGCAGGTGGGCAATGTCTTTTTCCGGCCCATTAGCACATTCGGCATCTTTGGGTACGGCTACACGGCCTACTGCGCAGGGTCGTCTTCGAGCTACCGGCTCGGCGACTGGAAAATGTACGCGCTGGCGGCCACCTGCCACCTCGTCACGGTGCTGCACTCGGCCGCCAACATGCAGCCCATCAATGAGAAGCTCGACGCCCTCAAGGAGCCCAAGGGCAGCCAGCCCGGCGTCGAGGTGGCCAAGGCCGAGTCTTATGCCCGCAAGTGGATTAGCTACAACACGGTCCGGCTCATCATGCCCATGGTGGCCGGCTCCGTTGCGCTCTGGCAGACAATCATCTCTCTGTGAAGCATCAGCACCATGACCAAGGCAAAAATATGGGATGGCATGTTCTAATATAGTTGCAATAATTGAATGATGACGGCTTCAGATGGACGAAGGAAGAGGATGGTCGTTGAATTCACCTTTGGCATGGAGTTATGTAACTTGTATGGAGCGGAAGTGATTACTGGGGATTCGAAAAGACATATCGCATAATGATGTTTGGCAGCGGGTTGATTTCGGTATACTACATTTATTCAATCATCTTTCATTTCTTTTATTTTCTGTCGAGCGACGAGACTCCCATGTCTTTCATAGATGGCAATGAATGACAATACGCAGATTTCTTCATCTCTGTACACGTAAATTATGACTGCGCTACTGCACCGAACTCATCTTCCGATGAATGGGAATAATTTTAGAGAACCAAGAAACATAAAGACTCATGCCCATTATGCCCTGTGAGAATACTGATGCTACACTGTGTGTATCCGTGAATACGAGAATAATCCATGACATTATTGATCATCATCACTCTGAGCATAATTAGATGCAAATGCCCACATTATTCTAGGATGTACGAAACCTTGCATTGCTAATTTCACCAAGCTCCTACGCAAGTCCCATTATTTCCCCACGTTGTAGAGTATTTGATAATAAAACATGGCTTTACACGTGAAAACGCAATCGTGAAGGAGAAGCAATATTTTTTGTCCAAAACGCGGCAGCCCCCCCTCCTCACCTCGTTCCTGTGCTACCAAACCTTTGGGAGTTTGCCAATCAGAAATAGCGTCAAGGACAATCCCAGCTGATATACTATGCAAGTCATGGCGATCTGTCTAAAGCTAGGGATAAGGTTCTCGAGCCGCCCAGTGGCGGGGGGATTCCCGTTGAACACTTCGGGCGCGTGTTTCTGCCGCATCTGCGTGGCTTTGGCACTGTCGACAAACTCGGTGATCTCGACGACCTGGCTGCCGTCTTCCGATAGGCCGATCAGCATGATGCACTCGTTCCGCCACTCCATCGCGTTCTGCTTCATCGTGCCCTGCATGCGCGTATGCACCACGACCGTGCCAGACTCGCGGTCTTCGTAGGTGGACATTGGGATCATTTGGAACTTTTCAAAGATACTGAAGACGCCGGTCGCATGCTGGGCAAATGACTCCTTGTCCCGCGCAGGCATGTCCAGACTTTCCGGTAGCACGCGATGATGGAAGTTGTCAGCGAGGGGCTCCAGAAGCGTCGGGACGGAGAGGCTGCCGTAGCCTGCAATGAGCCTGCTGACGGTGGGGAGACCGGATCCTCGTCTTGATGCCATGACAATTGTGCGAACGGATCTATTTTGGGAAACACAACAGTCGGATTATGAGAGCTCGAGCCTAGTGAGAAGATTGCCTAGAGGGAACAACAAGAGTATGCGAGAGAGAGGTAACAAGATTGACAAGATCCGTTCCTTCCACCTCCCAAACAGTGCTACCGCGACCAGACCCTGATATACACAAACCGGAACCTCTGCTGTTGTTAGGATCATCAATATGCGGTGGCTTACGCCACCGGACGCGATTGCTTTTTGTGGCACGTCTCTCGGGACTCCGAAGGAAGTGCTGACCCAGCCGGTCACAGCCAGCACATAAGGTTTGACAATGACACATCTTTCCGCGGTGGCGCGGTACAAGTCCGAAGTGACTTAGTCATCTTGTTTACCTCTCGCCAAAAAGAGTATTTCTTGTCAACTGCGAACAAGAACGGGGAATGACTGCACTTCAGATACCGTACGATATCCAAAAACATCTCCCTCTTCTTCAGCTTCTTTTCATACGCATAGAATCCATATTCCCTGTCGACAAATTTTGATAACATCATGTCCAAAGTTCTCCTCATTACTGGTGCTACAGGCAAGCAAGGCGGTGCCGTTGTCGATGCTCTGCTCCAGTTACAGACCAACGCATTTACAATCCTGGCAGTCACACGAAATGCTACAAGTGCCGGTGCCAAGAAATTGGCCCAGAAGTCTCCTTCTATCAAGATAGTTCAGGGCGACTTGGACAACTGTCCAGCACTATTTGATGAGGCCCAGCGAGTCGAGTCGAGGCCCGTTTGGGGCGTCTACTCGGTCCAGATCTCCATGGGCAAGGGCGTCACGACTGAGTCCGAGGTAGCACAGGGCAAGGCCTTGATCGATGAGTCCATGAAGAGGGGAGTCGAGTACTTTGTGTACAGCGGCGTCGAGCGGGGCGGAGACGAGCGCTCCTGGAACAACCCGACGCCCATTCCGCATTTTCAGACCAAGTACCAGATTGAGAATTACCTGCGGGACGTCACTGCCAAGAATGGCAACGGCGGAGGCATGTCCTGGACTGTTCTGCGCCCCGTTGCCTTTATGGATAACCTTGCGCCTGGCATGCCCACCAAGGTCTTCATGGCTGCCATGAGCAACTGGCTCCAGGGCAAGTCGACGCAGTGGATTGCCACCAGGGACATTGGAGTCTTTGCTGCGAAAGCCTTTGAAAACCCGGAGAAGTGGAACAACCGTGCCATTGTAAGTATACAGAACGGTAACCTCCCGCGGCGAGATCCCATATGAGCAAGACTAAACAGGACGCGAATAGGGTCTCGCCGGTGATGAGTTGACGATGCAGCAGATGAGCGGGGTCTTTGAGAGGGCCACCGGAAGCCCATTGCCCATGGCTTACTCGTTCCTGGGCAGCGTCCTGACTTACATGGTCACGGAGCTCAAGTTGATGATTGGTTGGTTTGCTGACGAGGGCTACCAGGCGGACGTTCGGGCGAGACGGGCTGATCACCCGCAAATGCTGACCATGGAGCAATGGCTAAAGGAAGAGAGCTCTTTTACTACCAAGTAGGATTGGAAGTTATGAGAAGCTGGTGATCAAAGATCATGAATCAATGACACCATACTCGTTAGAAAGACTAGGTACCAGATCATTGGTCTCTGATAGCAGTGCGATATAGTCAATTCCAATCCAGGTCAGCCTACTGATAACTCTGATGTCACCCTTGGCCCCAGAATTAGATCTAGATCAGCCAACGTTGTCAGGTCTTGGCACTCGCTTCAACTTTTGACAACTTCACTCCCCTGCTAGTTTGCCAGAATTAATGAAATCTGGTTCAACGTTGCTCGTACCTGTCCATTCCCAGAAAGCTTCTTTGAGAGCCCGGTATAACAAGAGATTACGTACGCGCGTCCAGTCCATATTTCCAAAGTCCGGGTAAAGTCGTGGACCAGGGCCAAGACAAATGCCGTGTCCATTATAGAATACAAGCTTAAACGATGAGGCTGGAAGATGATGCCATCGGTAAGACAACTTATTTCATGATCTATGGTGTGACTAGCCCGAGTATTGACAACTTGGCCGGAAGCCGTCTCTGGATGTTGTCGTTTTCGGTTACCATTCAAGTATCTCTGCACAAAACCCACTGGTCAGAAACAGGAAGTAAAGGTCACATCGGCTCATTTGCTCGGAAGCCCAGTGGAGTTTGGGTCGGCAGTCGTGGTTAGCTGTCGTTGAGCGCCACTATGAAGAAGGACTTGTTCCGAAAGTCGATGCATAGGACCCTGAGCCTTTTGCATTAGGTCCAGTTGGGATGATCCCATAGAGACATGGAACTATGAATCGGCATTATGATTGTGCCATTTTTGTTAACGGACTACGGATTAAGTAATGGGCGGCCAATTCCCCGTTTATCCGCACCACTGAAGAATGAACCAATGGATGAATCAACCCGATCGGCTTCTGAATTAACTATTCTATGCTGCGGAGAAGTTTTAGGCATGCCAGGTCGGTAGACCGGGGCCCTCGTTCGGGTCGAGATACCCCTGATCATCGCCGGCATAAAACACACATGCTGGCATATAACCGCCCTTGCTATAGAAAAGCCAAGTCTTCAAAATTGGCGAGATGATCGCAGATCCCCTTAATCAAGCCAAACTCTATTTGGGATTATAGATGTTTGAGTGCCAAGACCTTTCATTCGTTCGCCGCTCGCTCCCATGTCGCAGCGAACGTGCATCGGCGCCTGCGGACGCCCAGCAACGGATTTCTTGGCTCCGAGACGTCGCACTGGAACCCCAATTTGCCTAATCCATCCGTCGCATATATAATGATGCGATTGAAAAGAATACTGAATGCAGACACTCGCTTAAGCTGGACGCGAGCCGAGGTCTTGATTCGCCGGTGGGCGCAAGTTCAAGCAGACACTTGTGCCAATATTAACAGATCAAGCTAGAGGTAGGCGAGCCACTGTGATGTCGAGCCTTTCGGCATTCAATGTCGCAAAGGCAATATTATCATTATAGCTGAAAGGCATACATATTTCCAAGCAATCTTGCATATACTCAATCTATAATGTGTGACGCACTCTTGAAATAGATATTCCGTGCAAATTTCTTTTGTTGCCTCCTGTCTTGAGGTGTATATAAAGTCGTGGAAGGAGCCGCTTCATTTCTCCAGATAGTCACACCACTGGCAAGCACTAGATAATCGTGAACAATTGTCCACAAAACCCACAGTCTTTTCAACATGACTCGTCTCATTTTCGCTCTTTTGGCTGCGGCTCTGCTCCGCGAGGGTGTCGCCGCCCCCGCCCCGGCTGCCGTCACCGGTCTTGACCTACCCACGCCCCCGATCCCCTCTGGTAAGTCGAGTAAGGGTACTCGGAGGCTTGTGCCCATTGTCTGACCTTTTGCAGGAATTCCGACTCTCCCTACTGTTCCCTCTGGAAAGCCCACAGGATCCAAGCCAACTGGCAAACCTTCGCACACGGGCAAGCCGACGGGCAAGGGCAAGGGCACCGGAAAGCCCACTGGAAAGGGACCCAAGGTGAGCAACATGTTGAGATTTTTGACGCCTCCAATTTCACGAGGAATTTCAGAAACCACAAGATACATCAAACGCTCGACATGAAATGTGACTGACTTGATTGTATTAGCCAACCGGTGCCGCGATTGAGGAGCGTCAGCTGCTCCCTACGAGTCTCCCAGGCCTCCCTACTGGAGGCTTTCCATTCCCTACTGGCAAGGTAAGTGATGCACATGAGAGACTCACTCTTGTCAATATCCGATAGAGCGGCCACTAACAAGATCAAAACAGCCCACTGGCAGTTTCCCAGTCCCAACTGGCAAGGTGAGTGTTATGCACTCCTAAAACAACCTGACAGACATGGCTGACAAGGATGTTTCCGAAGGGCAAGGGTGGCGGCAAGCCTACCGGTAAGCGACTGTTACCCAACGACCTTGAAGAAATGCAAATAAGCAATGAACCATGCTAATGTCGACATTCACAGGCTCTTTCCCCATCCCTACCGTGAAGCCCACTGGTGGCTTCTTGCCTCCGAGAAACTAGGCGCCCCGACAATCCACAGGTTGGAAAAGAAAAATGCCTCGTATGTGAAAAAAGTCCTCGAGGCACCATTTGAAGGGCGGTCAACAAAAGTGATATGGAGTCTCAAGGGAAAAGAAAGTACCTCCCAGCGAGTTCAATTCGTCTTGTTCATTTTATTATAGCGCTGCCGTTGCGCATAGCTTTGTTCTCCACGTAACGCTTTGAGATACATGCACAATCGTTGAATCTTTTGAAATTTTTTGGCCAAAAAGATTATCATAACTTGCTACACCTGTGATTTCTTTATTTGCTCATTTCCAACCCCATACGGCAGATAGCTTGTCTAGCCCAGTCTTCATAGTCGACTTTTCTTCTGGGGATGATGCTGCCGCCAACGTCACCTCTCGCGCTTCTAGCTCTGCCAAGCCAGACGTGAGGTCGACTGTCTCGGCGGGTTTCGCCCACGGCTCGTGGCGATTGTAGATCCGGTGTCCAAAGTACAGAACCACAAAAATCGGTATGCCAAGGTAGTCCGTCAGGAACGAGGTTGCCGTGAAATTGCCCGGGAAGAAAACCGGCAGTCCATTCAAGAGGCCCAAGAGTGTAGTGAAGATGATGGCAAACCATGCGCCGTATGGCTGGAAGCGGCTCTGGTAGGGGAGGTTGGTAACGCCTTGGACCTTGCAGGCCTTGCGGAATCTGAAGAAACAGACACAGCAAATGATCCAGCTGATGAAACCACACTCATTGACCAGACTCACAAGCCAGGTGAACACCTGACTGCTGCCATTCTTGACATTCAGATAGGCCAAGAGGGACAGACAGCTCGTCAACAGGACAGAGTAGTATGGCACGCCGTATCGGTTGCAGCGAGCAAAGATTTGTGGTGCGTTCCCGACCAATGCGAGCGAGTAGAGCGCGCGAGACGCCATGAATAGTTCGCCATTGGCAGCGGACCACGCCGAAGTCATGATAGCTGCGTTAATAACGCTGTCGAGACCCCGAATTCCAGCCTTCTGGATAGCAATCACCCATGGCGAGGCAGCAGCGCCGCTACCACCGGCAGTGAGTCCGGGCTCGCTACTCGGGCAGATGAGTCCAATCGCCAACGCCGAGAGCGCGTAGAAGAAAATGAGCCTCCATGTGAAGTGGAACATGGCCTTTGGAACGTCTTTCCGGGGGTTCTTCATTTCTCCACTGGCCGATACAATGTACTCGGGTCCAAAGAGGAAACTGAAAGCGCCTAGAGTCAGAGACATGATGAATGCGCACACCCTTCCCGCGGAGCCGCCAACCAGGTATTCGTTCACCGGATCTTGCTGCCAATACCAGAATCCCAGACGAGTGTGGTTTGGTCCGCCACCAAGGACAAGCACGACTGATAGGATCAAGAGTCCGATAATGGTAAAGACCTTGATCGAAGCAAACCAAAACTCGCCCTCGGCATACCAGTGAACAGGCATCAAGTTCATGGCGATAATGACCACTAGCATTATAGTGATCCAGGCGGCTTCAGGAACATCGTTTGGCCAATAGCTAATGACAATAGACGCGGCCGTGACCTCGTATGCAACCGTTACACCCCATGTCCACCAGTGTAGCCAGCCGACCGCAAAGCCGAGACTGGACGAGACGAAGCGCGTGGCGTAGTAAGGGATCGAGGCTCCGGGGACCGGCAGGTAGGCGTTGAACTCGGTCGTGGCGGACGCGACACAAAAGGCGAGAAAGCATATGACACAGTAGGCCACAAACAGGAAGACGGGCCCGGCAATGGCGAGCGCCTGACCCGAGCCGACAAACAGTCCGGTGCCAATAACTCCGCCGATGGCAATCATCTGAGCCTGGCGCGAACTGATGTTGTGTTTGGTGCCCTGCGGTATGCTGGGCTGGCTGCCGCCCTCATAGTCCGAAGACACGCTGGGCGGAGTGGCCATGACCCGCTGCGACTTCTCGTCAGACATGGCGTCGTTTGTATACCGAGAGCGCGCTTTGAGTTCCGAGTGATGCCTCAAGACAATCCACCAAGGCAGCCCGTCAGCCCGTCGACGTGGGGGAAGGCTCTGTTATTTATCTCGGCAAACCTCGTCCTTGTAGAGAAAGAGAAAATGGATCCATGGAGACATCGCATGCAGGTGCCCTCAAGGATTCATGAGTATCCCCCCAGGCCTGGGCCATTTACCGGCAGGACGGTAGAGACAGTCCGATGGGGGTGGGAAACATGCTATCTAACACGGGCTTGATAAGGAGGCCCATATATTTGTATATGATTCGCGTTGACAGACGCTGTCGCCGGTGTTCAAATAGTCGTGCCCCCCAATGAGAACACAAGGAGGGGTACCCACCGATCGGCATTTTACAGGGTCTATCCGACTTCGCCGGGTGCTTAAAACCCCCCTCAACACGACCATCATAGTTATCAAGACGCCGGTCGTCGGCCAATATGGACCGACACTTGCGAGAGCAGCAGTACAAGCTTCTTGCCTTTTTTTTTTTTTTTTTTTTGTAGATAGGGACCTCATCCTATCACAAAATGGAGGAACATGAGCCTTAAGAATTTGGCTGACGCCATATATGGCACAACCTAGGTCATTGGAGGTGTGTGGAATCACTCCATGTCCTTAATTGCCTGCCAGAGCCTTCAGCGAAGGTGATGGATACACCAATAGGGTTCACCATATCCAGGAACACTAGGGATTCTTCTGCCTCGTTTGATCCCGGATAATGATGGCCATGAGTCAGCGTCGACATGGGCTTGCACACAGATATGGTAAGTGGAGGCTCATGCAGCAACCTCTGCGAGATCGCTCCATTCTCCCCAAGACCCTGTTGTAGTCATCGTCCAATTCTTCAAATCAATCTTAATTGGTAGGTATAATAAGAGCATGTCATTCATCTTCATTCTTTGGATTTTCCAGCGATGGAATTGATTGTACTTCCATCTCACAGTGGAGAGTACAACATAAACAAGCGGCAATACATTTCCAATCCCCCTAGGGGGGCCTAGGCACTCCCACACCTGGGCAGTTATTAGTGGATTATACTACATTTATAATCCCCCACTGCCCACAGTTGCTTTGGCACGCACCCGTCAATGGGCGAGTGTCCCTACCCATCTCCAGCTGTTTGGTTATATTATATAATGGTTTCCCTCGGCCACTTAACTTGTTTATTCTATTCGTGGTGCATCAATATAATATGTTGCACAGATGGTATCATAACATCAAAGTCAATGGCGGCATTGGCCCAAAGGTTTGCTTTGGGATTGGCGCTGGTGGAAATCGAACACGTTGCCAAGTGGCCCTATTCAGCTGATGCCGGCATTTTCTTGCTTTCTACTAGGTTAGGTATTTGGCCGGCGCAGGCTCTTTTCTCTTCCTAAGATTTTTTCCTACCAAGAACACACTGCCATAGCAACAATAGCCTGGTGAATAGTATTCAGCTTAAGCGGATCACTATCTCTGTAGAAATTCCCAGATTGCTCAACGGTCTCTAGTAACTCGCCGGAGGCCATGTGAACGACGTCGATATTGCCACGGTGTCTCGAGCTACGGATGCACTACGATGTAAGCACAAGATGAATAGCAATTGTGATACAAGTTGTGTGTTTCCCATACAATGAAGACTGACTTGTCATGCTGCGATACGACACAGCATCAGGAGAGTACGTTTGGTATTGACGAGTCAATTTTCGATGGCATGATTTCGAGATCTCATTGTCTAATCACATTATTGTACATTTTCGGCCGACGCTGATATGATGAGTTGTTGTATAGAAAGATCTCTAGTAAAGGCCAGCTGTAATCTTATTGCTTGTCTACATTTCATGAGCATTATCGTCTTTGAACAAGTCTTAACAAGTCTACTGGCTCTTTGCCTTTTTCTTCTCCTCTCTCTCGGTTGCAAGAATCTTCCAGTCCGGGAACGGGTTTGCAAACTCTGACTTGACATCCTTCTCGTCTAACAACTCGGGAAAGGGGCCGATGTGAGGTGCAACCAAGTCAAAGAACACGCGATATGCCTCGCCGCTAAGGTGCAAGCCGTCGGGGAACAAACGCCCCAGGGCGCCGCGGAATCCCTTGCCGTCGTTGCCGTCCATGTAGCCGAGCAGCGGAATGTCACCATTGTGATGCTGGGGGTTCTTGGCGTCATACTCTGGTGTCAAGGTGATGGCGTGCTTGGTAAGGGCGTCCTGGAGATCGATGAGTACGGTACCAGGCACCTCGGCCGCCACGTCGCGGGCCAGCTGCGAGTACTGGGCGCTGTTGGCGGCGCTGCGGGTGAGCTTGTCCAGGCCGTTTTCCTCAATGTCGTACTGGTAGATGCGGGTTTCGTCCAGCGGCGGCGGCGCCACCAAGAGAACTTTGGTGTCGTGGGCCGTGATGTTTGGGTGCGTGATGATCTTTTTGAGGTTCGCCTTGTACTCCTCTTGTGGGCAGAACTGGGTTGGGAGCGACCATGGGTGGCAGGCGTCGTTGGCACCAAGGAGAACAAGCTGTGAGAGATGTATGAGCCATATAGATCGAACATCTATCAGGTCACAAAACCCCTACCAGATATCGAAGCCTAGGACCAGTATAGTCTGAGCTCTTTGCTGGGAAGATTTCCGGCAGATATCTCAGGGCATCTTCCGTGTTCCAGCCAGAAAAGCCCCTGTTGACCACATCAAGACGCCGTATGCAGTCTGTCAAATGTGTAAGTATATGACTTTGTAGTATGCAGAACCTGAAAGAAAGTTGTACTTACGCTTCTGGAGGGCAGCTTGGAAAGAGAAACCCTCCAAGATGTCGGTAGCGCCCTGGAACAGAGAGTCGCCGAAGAGGACGACTTGGTCGTAGGAAGCCTCGAGTCCGACTTAGCCAGCTCGATCCAAACATGGACAGATGGGGTCAAAGAAAGCCATGGGATGTGGGTCAAGGATATCTCTTACAGCCATGGTTGTGTAGATATGCAGGAGGAATTTGATAAATACGATTGACGCCGTTGAAACAACCCCGCAGTTCCACGAAACTCTGCACTGTACTAGTGAGTACCTGGAGATACGTTCGTCCTACCCAAGCTGCCAATAAGGGCTGTGTCGATAGATACTCTTTAGCTTGAGTGCTATGATACTGTCTTGACTATATTGCTTCGTGAACCCGCTGCCAAATATAGCTATAGCCAGGCCTTTGAAGTTGTGTGTTGGAGAGCTCGAGCATGTGTATTTTTAGTGGCTGAAGATCTCTGCGGGCGATCCCGTCTCGCGCGAGATGAGCCCGAGGACCGCAAAAATAGCTCCGATATGCACCCACCAGCCAACATGTTTGCATCTCGGACACGCAGCAAACGCTCCTCTTGTTCTTGGCAGCGATTATTTACACATATGAAACTAATCACAGTATGACCGTCGCAAATGCATTGGCAATACAAGACGAAAATGATGGATGTATGGAGCATATAGTATCCAGCAAAAAGCAGCACGGCAATTACGAGACAGCACAGAGGCGTGATGTCACGAATACTGGACCCTGCCAAGGATTCAGGGCATGTTGGCATGCTTGCTCGGCTCATCATGCAGGCGGCTTGGGGGCCACCAACTACAAGCTTTCCTATCTCACCCCAAGCGGGGAACCACGTGCTGTATCTTTTGGTATTACCGGGTCTTGTTTGCTTATCTTTTATTCCGCAGCAATTGCTTCTCCATACGTTGGCTAGTCTGCCACAAAGGCAAATGTAGCACCACCGTCAGAGCAGCAGGGCCAAAAGATCACTGATTGACCCATGAAGAGCCCGTGCTGAGGCAGAGACAGATGATGTCACGTCTCATATTGGGGGGTAAACACGTGTAAATAGCTCCTTTATATCAACCGCCAAGCCGGCAGTTGCTCTGGGCACTGGTAGGTCAATATTAGACATTGAGAGTTCTACGATCATATCTTCAAAGCCAATTTGAATCTTTTCAATTATCTTCGCATTGCCAGGCACAATGACCATTTCAGCATACGGAGTCTGGCGCGGAACGGCGACCAAGTGGGAGCCCACCCAGCAAGACAACGACCACGGACACATAACCTTTACGGACGGCGACTCCGATGACCTCGACTGTGCTGTGGACGTCAAGTCCAAGGACTCGGACTCGCGCATCGTCTTCTGGAATGTCGTTTCCTTTGACGATAGCCACCCGCTCGCGGCCAAGCTTGCAGCTATTGACAAGGGCTATCAAGCAATCACCAACCACACGTCCAGCGGTCTGGGGCTAGACTACCTCAAGAGCGACCTTGTCAATGTCAAGCAGGGCCGCATCCTAGACTACCAAGAGAAGGGGCCCAACAACGACATCCTCGACTTTCTCAACCCTATTCTCAATGCCGCTGTTAGTGAAAAGGCGGACATGTACCTGTATGGCAGCAAGTACAGCGAAGGCAGCGGAATCCAGTACGTACATGTATTGATTGATGTGTTTTCACCACATGATTTCTTGTGCATTCTTCAGGCACGTTTGCAAACATGAATACTGACCTGTGACAGCGACATACATATGAACCAGGGCGACTCAGGTCGCTTTGCCAAAGAGAATGGAGTTTATCAGGATGGCGGTATGATCTTCAACTTTGGATCGGGGAATGGTGACCTGTCGGGCTGGCAAGCTGTATTTCTGGCATTTGCCACTCAGGCAACACAGACTGATTCAAAAGGTGACGCCATGGGTCCTACTTTTGCGCAGACTCTTGGTAGTTGAGTTCGTCAAATCTTGAGTTGACTGTACACTGCCAATGCATACGAGCAGTGAATCAATTATTCCTCCAGATACGGACACTCAGCGCCAGGGGCTATTAATTGTACCCATAGTCTAGGACCTGCTTCCATTAATGCGATTTGTGACAATTCTGTTCGAGGCAATATTGATTACATGCACGATATAAGATGTAGATGGTGATGAGTCCACTTTTTGGCACGCTTGTTCATCAACGACAGCATAAAATCTCCCAGTCAAATATGTAGCCGGAATACCGGCATTCGCGGTTGCCTCAAGTTTCCTTTTTACTTTGGCTCCTCCCTTCGTCACTAATCTGATTGCGAGGAAACAGCGAAACAGCGGCCTACCTTTTGAAGCACGGGACAAAAGAACTAGACCCCCGGCACGTGTTCTGTATGGTTTATCTCAATTACAGTGGACTTTGTAGTTGTGCTGCCCGGGTCACATCCTTCCCGATAACCAAGAGATTAAACCCCTTCGACAAGCTAAAGACTGCAATTGGTGACCATTACTTCGGGTATTTTTCAACGGAATCATGTCTTCTTCACCCTATCAGGGATGCAGTAATCCTGGCTAGGATGACCTCGCCAAATAGCTCAAGTAAACCCACAAGCTTACTGTCTTTGACCAGGCCGCTCCGCGCAGATATCTGCGGTGGATGTTTGTCCTTGACTTCCCCGTCACTATACAAAACTCGATCACGGCGGCTTCACACGCTATCATGCAAGGCCTGAGTACTACTTTCAAGGTCTATCCATTCCTCACGGGATTACTAGGATGTTCTGAAGGCAGCGAGGAGGGGTAGTTGGAGCTGCGGTATGGTCACATACCTGAGCTGCGCAGCATCCGCAGGGTGCGGATTTCTCATTGCAATCATTCGGCAACTTGTCCACGACGGTGGCGTAAAAGCGTGCGGCAGAATCCTTTTATCCTCCACCGGAATTCTTGAATAACAAGCGGGTCTTCGCACCACCGGCATCTCTTGACACTATTGCAGAGACGGCCCTTCAGATTCGCAAGTGCCTCCGGTATGAAGTGGGAAGCACTGAATGGTTCTTATCATGACTGGCTGTACTGTCCAAAGTCGAGAGTTTGGAGGATGTTCCATCTGCAGCCAAACGAGCCTGCCAGCCATGCAGTTATGGGATCTATTTCACTTCTCTCGCTGACTACGGAGCCGTTATCAATTTTGGTATACCCGGCACGACCGGCGATGGCACTTCCCTGTTCTGCCGCGTGCCGTGCGTGTACGACGTGGGGACAGCCTATGTCTTGCCTCGAAAGGGAAGACATCGGGTACTGAGAACTGGGACGTAAAAGTCTGTCTCCCGCTGCAGGTCCTGGAGACTCTATCTCTTGATGTTAATCTGTTTCTTATGTTGATGATACCAATCCATCGAAATACGCCCATGCCACCCGAAGACGGCCCGCAGGCGGAGCACCAATCTCGATCCCAAACGATGAGATGATTGATTTTGCCAAGTGCAGCATGGATAAAGAGGATCTTAAGAGGGCAGTGCGCTCATAAGTAGAGGGAATCCCAAGTGGTGGTGAAGGCAACGGGTTCGTACTTGAAATTGTGGTAACGGTTGCAGCATTACTGACATTACTATTGCGACGATGCCAAAGGTCACCAATATCAATCCACGCCTGAGTATGAGTACATTTACGTTTGTGAGGGACAATTAAGAAAGGATTGTTGTTTCCGTATTGGCAGTGATTGGGCGAGACACGTCTGCCGTCAGATCAAGCAGCTGTCAGCGACGAAGCCACAGCTGAGTAAGTGTATACAGCACAAGCTGGAGGAGGATGGCGGTTGAGATGCTACTAAAGCAGGTTACAAACTTGGTGTCAGCAGTCATTCAACGTATATTCTGTATTATATTGAGGTGGACCCAGAATTGAATGGGTAACAGTTGTACTCTCACACCCATCTAATGACATGCCTCGGCTGACTTTGCTGGCCGAAGACGTAGTCCTTTTGCTTCAGTATGTAGGATGTAGGGTTGCAATGTCCACAGCATACATGTCTCGGGGCCTGGAGAAGAGGTGGGGAAAATGCTGAATAGTGTCAAAAAGAAGACATCGAATCCCGAGATCCGCGCCTAAAAAGGTGCCGTGCAATAATGCCTAGGTATGTACTGTGTAGGCAAGAAAGTTGGTGTGGTGCGGTCGCCGGAAGAGGGAGCAAAGGCCGGCGGGAATACGTACTATGCAGTACATAGAATGTACGATTGCGACGGACCAGGATCAACACTGAATGGGATCTCGGTTCTTGTTGCTAGTGGATAGTACGGAGCCGGAATAGACAGACAACAAGGTTGAGCCAATCAGACAAATTCCAATTACCCCAAGGAAGAGTCGCCAGAAACAAAGGGTTGTTTGTAACCCTCTGTACCCGGGGCAGCCTCTTGGCAAGAAAGGGAGATGCCTAGGTTAGGCATTTAGTCTACATATCTCACCTAGTAGGTAAGCAAGGAATGGGAAACATTCATTGGATCGGTCGTTTGGCGAATACGCAGTATTAATTCAGTCAGTCCGAAAGTAAATCCAGCACTGCCTTGGTGAAGAGCCAAGAGAATCACGGCTGACAGGGAGGGCTACAATTGAACTTTCGCGCTCGGTTTTGTTCTTGCGCGAGAACGAGAACGAGAGAGAGTGGAGTTTTGGAGGGGGGATTTGCTGAGCTCTCCCCCCAAAAATGTGCATTCGCCGTAGCATTGACGCTAAAACACTTTTTCTTAGGTCGAGCGAGAAGGGGGGAAAAAAGAGAGGAAATTCTATTCCAGAGTCGGGTCCAACCTATCCCGCCGCCCATTCAATTTAGTTACCATGAAACCATTCAGCGGGACCCCGAGATTCCGAGGTCTAGGGTCAGGCCCGGCGCCATTTCCAATCCCCCCATGGCATCGTACTATGGATGGGTAAAAAATTAACGATCATGACACGATGATAAATCTGTTTTTTTCCCCCTTCCCCCGTTCCTCTTGTCTGACCGCCCAGGGAGCCCTATTCTTTTCCAGTGACTATTAGCTCAGCTGAGTTAATGCAGCTTACCTAAATAGCTGCATTCTAGCATAATATATTCCCGAAAAACTTGTCCATCATTGGTGCGCAGAGAAAGAGGGGTGCCCTTGTTCTTGTTTATTGTTGAGATTCCGTTCCGATGGTAGGAGAACATGAAGATGACAGATGGCCGGCGTTGATGGACACAGATCAGATCCCGATATTCTGGAGACTTGCAAGTGCAGGAGCCAATTGATGACTGATTGACTCACTGAACGATCTCAATTGATCGGGCTCAGGAATCCCATCACTCACTATACATCTCATGTGAATAAAAAGTCAATTAGACATGTTATACATAGGAAAGTGAATCAACCTCTTTTATGCCTAGAATTTACAATTCCCCTGAATTGACTGGCTCGTGGTACCTCGAGGTACTACACTACTCTCTCTAGTATACTGTGCCGCAGCTTGACCCCCCCTTCCAGGCCATTCCGCGGGCAGTTCTTTGGATCGATTCTGGGGCTTTATGGCAGCCGATTGATTCGTCCATCGCCGTTTAACGCTCCATTCTCTTGCGTTGCCCCACATTTGCCTCGCCTTCGAAACTCATCCCCGAAAAAAGAAGTGCCAGTGCGAACGAAGTACCTGCATTTTCTCGACAACCGACTGCTCTTCTCTTTTTACCTTATCCTTCTTCCACCCTTTTTTTTTTCTCTCTCTTACCTTTTCAACTTAACCTTGAACCCAATACTAGCTATTCCGGAATACTCGGCCTGAAATATCCCAAACCACCAACAATGGACGCCGTACTGCGTCAGTCCAAGGCCATGTGCCCATTCCTCAAGCAGGCGTCGCCAGCTACTCTGCGCGCCCTGTCGACTACCGCTCGTCCCCAGGCCTCCCCGTGTGGCGGCGCCATGTCCAAGTTGCAACTCCTCGGCTCGCGCTGCCCCATCATGGGCAAGGCTCTCGCTGTGCAGTCTGCTCGCGCCGGTCTCAGCGGTACTGCTGCCGCCATTGCTGGTATTCGTGCCTTTACCAACAACGCAAAGAATGGCAAGGCCAAGATCCACACCAGTCGCCCCAACGAGGCCAGGGCCATGGACGGCGTCTTTACTCCCCGTGATGGTAAGCAAATTTGGCCCAAGCCGAGCGTGGTCGAACCTGGGGAATTAATCATTGCGTAGCTCGTATCCCGCCTACCAGCCCGTTGAAGCAGCATCAACAGCAAAACGCCGCTGCGCAGCAAGCTTCCAACAAGTCGAACAACTCAACGACGGCCAAGTTTGATTACGATGGCTTTTACCAGGACGAGCTTGACAAGAAGCACCAGGATAAGTCCTACCGCTACTTTAACAACATCAACCGTCTGGCCAAGGAGTTTCCCGAGGCCCACATGGCCGAGAAGACCGACCGGGTGACTGTGTGGTGCGCCAACGACTACCTCGGCATGGGCACCAATAAAAAGGTCATCAACACGATGCAAAAGACCCTGGATGAGTATGGATGCGGAGCCGGTGGTACCAGAAATATCTCGGGCCACAATAAGCACGCCGTGGAACTTGAGGGAACCTTGGCAAAGTTGCACTCCAAGGAGGCCGCGCTGGTCTTTACCTCGTGCTATGTTGCAAACGATGCTACCCTCGCGACCTTGGGAAGCAAGATGCCCGACTGTGTCATCTTGTCCGACAGCTTGAACCACGCCTCCATGATCCAGGGTATCCGTCACTCTGGCACCAAAAAGATGGTTTTCAAGCACAACGACCTGGCCGATCTGGAGGAGAAGCTTGCATCTCTGCCGCTACACGTACCCAAGATTATTGCTTTTGAGTCCGTTTACAGCATGTGTGGCTCCATCGGACCAATTGAGGGTATTTGCGATTTGGCAGAAAAGTACGGTGCTATTACTTTCCTCGACGAAGTTCACGCCGTGGGCATGTATGGACCCAGCGGTGCCGGTGTAGCCGAGCATCTCGACTATGAAGCGCACAAGGCTGGTCGACCCGAAGGAACTATTCAGGACCGTGTCGATATCATTACCGGAACTCTGGGCAAGGCCTATGGCTGTGTTGGCGGATATATTGCTGGCAAAGCCAAACTGGTCGACATGATTCGATCTTTGGCTCCTGGCTTCATTTTCACTACTTCGCTTCCTCCGGCCGTCATGGCAGGCGCAAAGACTGCCATTGAGTACCAGATGGAACACAAGGGCGACCGTTTCCTGCAGCAGATGCACACCCGGGCTGTGAAGGAGGAGCTGGAGGCCCGCGACATTCCAGTCATGCCCAACCCCTCTCACATTATTCCCATTCTGGTTGGAAGCGCTGAGCTTGCCAAGAAGGCCTCGGATATGCTGCTCCAGGATCACCAAATTTACGTGCAATCCATCAACTACCCGACTGTGCCTCGCGGCGAGGAACGACTTAGAATCACCCCCACGCCCGGACACAAGAAGCAGTACCGCGACCATCTAGTCAACGCCCTCGAAGACGTTTGGACCAAGCTGGGCATCAAGCGTACTTCGGACTGGGCTGCCCAGGGCGGTTTCGTCGGTGTTGGAGTCGAGGGCGGCTACGTTGAGCCCCCTCTGTGGACTGATGAGCAACTGGGTATCGACAACAAGGTCGTCCAGGAAATCAAGGCCACCAAGCCTGCTGATCAGAACTTTACTGAGCTGCTCCTCGAACGTGAGAACCTGGGTCGTGTGGCTAGCGCGGCCGCCTAAAGCATTTTCCTATCCGTCCTGGAGAGGAAAGATACATGCTTTGGGGAAAAGGACAACGCTCAGCCGACTCGGACCCACGTTCATTAGAGCGACGAGGAGGATTTCCTGATTTGCCGATCAAAGCTCGAATTCAGTTCACTTCTATATATGAATCATCTAATGATTATCATGTCATGATGGCTTCACACAAATTTACATGACTCAACTGCTCGGAGTAAGCAGCAGCGGCTTTGATGCCGGGATCTTTTAGCTACAGATCAAATACAATTACTTGCCATTGTCTTTGCAAATGCGAGACTTGGCCACTTCTGTGTCGTCTGTCAAAACACCAGTTCCATTATTGCAACACATTTCGTGAAGCCTGTGATTTTATAGCCGTTATCCATGATACGCGCCGTGCCTCAATACCACCCACGAGCGCTGACGATTTGATCGAGGTGATTGTCAAGGTAGGTGTCATCTTCTCATCGCTGATTTCACGGCTTGACGATTAGGTGATTCGTAAGTAAAGCAGTTGAAAGTCTTGTGAGAGCAATATGCAAAAAAGAATTTGAATTGTTTGCGACTATTAACACAACCGTCCCCAGAACACCATATTGGATATAAACTCCTTAATTTTCTTTTTTTCGCCTCTGTTTTCCCTGGATATTTGGGTATCATGACTTTGCTTAGTGCAACATGGCATCGAGATTCTCGCCCAGGATACCTTCGATACCCACAATCCATCGCTGCGTCTCCCTTTCAACGTCCTCCTCGTCGTCTTCTTGGAGCTCGCTAATGTACGGCAGCATTTCGGGCAGCATGGCGAGCCAGTCCTCGCCCAGACGCTCCGTGAGCTTCTGCTCGGCCTTGACAGCAGCCAGGCGGATACCTGCCGACTCGGAGCGCAGGTGCTTGAGCAGGGCCGCGTTGAGCTCCTTGTGGTGGTCTTGAGAGTCTGCGGCGGCGGCCAGCTCAACGAGCGTAGGCACGAGGTCGTGCGTCATCATGTCCACTGCGCCCGTCGAGGACGCGTGCAGGAGCTGGCTGGTCAGCACAGGCGCCACCACCGAAAAGTGTGCTGGGGCCTGCCAAAAGTCGTCCTGGTCGTGCTCGAAGCACTTGGCCAGGGTGCTGAGGATCTTCCTCCACAGGTCCTTTTGCTCGCCTCCTTGCTTCGGATCCAGTCTTTGCAGCGTCGCGACCGCTGGGTCGACCATGTAGCTAGCGTAGCTTGTGACAATGGACTTGAGGCTGTCAAAGAAGGACAGGAGGAAGGAGAAGGCGCCCAAAAGTCGAAGGTTGCGGCCGACAAGGTCAGACGACGGCAAGTCGGGACCGACAGCCCAGTCCATGAGCGAGGAGAAGATGGGTCTAAAAGCTGCATCATTGAGCTTGTAAACCATGCGCAGGGCTACGGCGTTAATGGTATCTTCAATGCGCGCGAGGTTGCGGGCGCTGTTCTTGCTAATCTCGCCCCGGCCATGTTCCACACGGCGCAGATCGAGAGCCGACAGGAAAATGTTGGACAGGGAGCTGACGTTCTTGGCAATATCCGACTTGCTGTGTTTGTCAATGGCTAGACCAAGAATATCGAGGTATTCCATGATAGCCTGCAAGTGCGTTAGTGCTGCTTTCGAGCGCGTGCTGCTCTTGAATGTACTTACGTTGAAGCCACTATCTGAAGCCACTGCCCAGTTGACCTCGAGAGCGGTGAAGATTGCCTTTGCTTCCACGGTCTTAGCAAGGAATTGAAGGCATTGAACACGTGAGTCGATAGCATCAGTATCGAGTTCGGCCGCCGCGGATTCGCTAGACACGGCAAGCAGTTGTTGCAGAATGGTACCAGACAACATGTAAGGGAGATGCTGCGCCAAAGCATGCATGAAGGTGTAGCATGCGTTGTGCAGTGCCGTGTTCCTGGCAGCGTCTGCTACAGATTCCTTCAGGTAGACCAGACACTTGGGAGTAGCGACTGGTAGAACTGGAACCATGCCGTCTTGCAGTACGTCGACAAGAGATGCCAAGCACAGCAAGCCCAGACTCCGCAGGCGGACATCGCTTTGGCCAAGGCACTGATCGCCTGCAATAGTCATGGCAGCTGCAGAAACAGCCTCTGGGTCCTTCTTGCCATACTTTTGGGCAATCACATCCACGCATTCCACAGCCACGTACTTGTAAGCCATATCGTCCGAGGTTCTGATAATGGCTGTCAACTGCGGCAGGAAGGCCAGCAATGCGGTCCTGGACAGAGCATCTGCTTGACCTTCGCGGTCGATACGGACTTGCAATGCCCGCAGGACCTTGCGACGAATGACAATATCGGGGCGATCCAAGAGGTTCTCCACCGCCTTGACGAATTCACCAATGGGAAGGAGGTTGAGGAGCTTGGGCAAGCTGTCACCACATCTGTCATGGAGTGCCTTGTATGGTTTCAAGCTCTCGGCGAGAGACAAAAGATCCTCGAGGAGGGTCGAGTAGAGCTCCCGGATCTTGGCTGCCTCCATATCGTCCTTCTCAGTCATCTTTGCAATTTGGGTGATCAGCTTCTTGCTCGATAGTAGACGAGGGGGCAAGTCTAATTGGGCGAGGGCAATTTTTTGAGGATCGCGGTCACGATCTTCGCTGGTGCTCAACAACGCAGTCGAAAGGGTAGGTCGCGACTGGAACAGATCGCCGGTAAGATTCAAAAGCTTAATCACAGTCTGCAGCTCAACCTCAACACTGAATTGGTGGAAGACCTGGCTTGCAAAGGACAAAACGTCAGCAGTCGAGCCATACTTGTCCACCAACATAGCCAACAGTGCAAAGAGGAAATCCTCAGCGCCAAGCACCTCAAGTAGCGACACAAAGAGGCCGAGTCTTCGGTGAGACGGGATGTGCTCAAATGCAGTGACAAAGCTCAACAAGAGCTCCGCGGCGCCAGCAACCGGACTCTTCTTTCCCCTGCGGAGGGACTGAATCAATGGCGGTACAACTTCCTTGACAGTCTGGTTGATAACGTGCGCAGAATAATCGTCGCTCTGGCGCAGAACCGAGTTGCCCATGAACGTGAAGATGGGCATTACGCTGTGCAAAACCAGCTCTGGCGCAACGCTGGCCAGGCTTGCGACAAGGAGCAGTGCTGTATTCTGTACTGCAGGACTCGACGACTTCTGAATGCAGCTGACAAGTAAGTCACCATGGCCGCTGGATCCATCGATTTTGAGCGTCTTGTCATCTCTGTAAGCAGGAACTATAGCCAACAAGCTTCGGAGAACAAGATTTTGCAAGTATCCAAGCTCTGAGCCGAGCAGGGTTCGGAAGTGTTGCAGTTCTGATAACGTGTTGAAGAGAGCGTTGAGAATGTGCGGGTGTTTTGCAGGATCAGAGCCTTCAACGAGCTGAAGAACGAATGTGACCTGCCTCAATGCCTGGGTCAAACCATGATCAGCTTGAGAAACGGCTCCTCGGGATTCTGAAGAGCTTGTCCGTCGTCTCTTGTTGGGCGGGGTCTCATTTGCCATCTTTGCAGCATTTTGTAAAGAATCCAAGAAAGATAGGAGATTCTCGGTGGCCAGTTCCACATTTCTGAGGACGTCTGCCGCTTCAGTGGCGACAGGAGAGCGCTCTCCCGATGCGTTTTCCTGGGCCATAGCAAGCAGCCTATCGGCTACTACGTGCCTCGTCTCTGTTTTCATCGACGGCCACATCTTTTCAATGCGAAGGAACACGGCGTGAAGCAGATTTTCCCGGCTGGATAGGGCCGGCGTCTGGACAGACTGGAGTAGATACTCGAGACCGTCGTTGTCGTTGGGCACGACAGTCTCGACGGCAGTCGTATCCATGGCTGATTCGCTGACGTTCTGTTCTTTGCATAATTGACTTGCCGTCTCAGGAGAAAGAGATGCCCACCACTTTAGCAACGGCAGGAGCAATGTTGTACGGGTAGTACCCGAAACCCCCTTGACTTGGTTAATTGGCTGCAATAGTCGCAGTTTGACGGGCAACAGTGGGGTTTCCACGACATGGCCAGCCAGGAAGGTCAGCACAGCCAGCCTGATTCCATGTGACATGTGACTCTTCTTGTCCTTTTCACTTCCGTCTGCAGAAGAACGGGAACTGCTTCCGAGGGAAGACTGAACGACAGCATGAATGTGTTCAGCGTTGAGGACACACTCTTCCAAAGATGGCATTAAGACGCTTTGCAGCAACTTGCGAACCGCATTTTTCTCTAAAACTGTGACTGGCTCTGCCTTGCCATAAAGCCCCCGGGTTGCCCAGTGCGTCGATGGCTCCGGATTACTGGCAGCTAATCCGTCCAAAACTGTGATAAGATCGGCTGCAGAGCGACGAACCTTCTTGGCCGGGTCACTCAGGCTTGCCACACAGTACGGGAGCAGTGACTGGAAGTCAACTGACTCACAATCACCTGACTTGATCCGGTCCTTTGCCATGTCCAGCGCATTTGACCTGGCCAGAGTGGGGTAAGGTCCGCACCAGATTCGGATCAGGAAAGTGAAGAAGAATGGATTATTGGGGGCTTCACCCCGTTGGACAGCGGCAGCTCTTTGGAAAGTTGCTAGGTTACCACGGTCTGGAACGGCTGATAGATACAGGGAGCAGAGGTCCGTGAAGACATCTGGAGGCGTAGGTAGGAGACAAGAGGTTGCTGTGGCAGTTGCGTGTTGGTTGACGCGATCGAAAATCGTATCAAAGTCTTCAGGGGCCATGGGTACATCTCCATTTGCGTCCACAGTTTCTTCAGGTCCCTCTTGAGTCTGGGGAAGAGCTTTGGGCCGAATTTTGGTGTCGAGCCTCAGCTCAAGAGCCTCAACATCGATCTCGGTGTCCATGATCGCTTTTGCAAATACTTCAGCCGGCGCTCCTGTGGTCTGTGATAAACGAACAATTGTAGCGGCGAGTTCCTGTCGAGCCATTCCATTTTCGTCGACCGAATCGTCTACCCGGTGAGCTGCTAGCATGAGAGATTTGAATACTACCGAGAGCTGCTGGTTGCTGAGTATCTGCTTCGGAACAATTGCCTCGATGAATTGCAGGCCAGTCGTGTCTCCCTTCTTCATGATGCGGTCAATCAACGCTAGGCAGAAGCCGTTTGACAGCTTCTCAATCTTGTGTTCCTTTCGGATGTCGTCCAAAATTTCGGGTAAACCTGTCACATTGAGGAGTGCTTTGGTTACCTTTCTTGACATCTGCTTTGGCGATCTATACTGAGCCATGATTGACAAGCACACAAGACCAGGGCGGAGGGTTTCGGTAGTCCATCCTGTAACCAATTGCTCCATCAAAGCCGTAATGGTTGCGTCGTCCAGATTTCCCTTGCACACGAATGCGACAATAACCATATAGGATGCGATTTGGAGGCTAGGGACCTTCTTCAAAACCATTGCCTCGCTAAGGATGGGTCCAATCAAGTGCAGTATAGCCTGGTCGTTGCTCTTCTGGATAGTCTTGCGACCAGATCGCATTTTGTCGAGCATTCCGTTCACAGCCTCGATCATGATGCCACCCCAGAATGATATCAGGGCCGGATAATGTTGCTGGTGTCTGCAAGTCTCCAAAGTGTGTTCGGAGATGGTTGTGAGGAAGTCGGCGTGATGCGTGGCCTGATACACCAGAACGGATCGAGGCGGCGCGGTGAGAGAGCGGATATAAGGGCTCAGGAAGCGGTATTCGTCGGGGATTTTGGCTGGCAAGATTGACATGAGTGTCACAAATACCTGGATGCTGTGGTAGGGCAAGAAGGTGGACAAGACAGCGGCGGTGTTATATTCGTGAATCCTACAAGGCAAAAGTTAGTCAATCGAGCTTGGGTGTCCTTGAAATGGAGCCGTACCGAAATCTTCTAACAAGCCATTCCACGGATCTAATGGCCGGCATTAGCCTGAGACGGCCACCAACCAAGCGAAGAAATGATTCTATTCTCTTGTCGAGCTCCGCATTCTCGGCGGCCGTCATCTGGTTGCGATCCTCATCCTGACTCTGCTCGCTAAAGATGGTACTGGCGAAAGCACCAAAGCGGGCATCCAATTGGCACAGCTCGTCAAACCCTTCGCGGCATATCTTGTAGAGAGAATGGTAACTCTGCGAGGCGGCGACTCGAGGCTCGAAGATTAAAGATTTCGAGTGGGCAGCTTTTTGCGCCCTAACGTCGAGGGTGGTCTTGGAGTTGGCAGCGATTTGCGCAAGCTGCGCGGCCAAAGACGACATGGTGTTGAATGTCGCGTATGGTCAAGATTCAGCGCATCGGAAGTATCGAACGGTGATATGTCGGGAGCGCGAGTCTTGGGTCTCGGATCAGGAGTTGCCCGTAGAGGCGCCTTTGCAGGAGTAGGAGTGAATGACTTCTTTGCCCTTGAATAGTCTGTTTTCCAAAAAATTCATCGGGTCTGGGACAGGACGAGCAAAGAAATTCCCGATAAGAGAATGGGCCAGTCAGAACTTGCGGATAAGCAGTCCGGGATCATTGCTCCCCACATTTGTTGGTGAACGCAATACTGGAAGGGGGTATATGGAGTGTTAGGTTCGATTCCTAATGGCGCTAGTCACTGGGGTGTCCATGAAGTTATTCTTTTCTACATTGCCCCTCCACCTTTGCCAAGACTTTACGCTAGCTCCATCTATAATAAGCATGAGCGGAAACACCATGGCTGACGTCTTCACGTACGAACTGATTGGTAAACATTCTGCGTCTGTGCCGACTAAGTTCCCTCGGGTCCATTCAACACAATAGTTGAGTATTATATGGAAGAGCTGGGGATTGTGACCAATAACTATGATCTTTTATGATGATGAGGAGCATTGTGAATAGTGGCTATGCCTTGATTGACTAGAGTCTGCCTGGCAGACCCAGCAATAGCTTGATGCAGCATGAAACGCCGGATATGATTGTCCTCATCCCGAATCCCTAACAAGTCACCGCGGCAAAACCACAGAGGGTAGTGTGGAATCAGGCGATTACATTACAAGCGATTCACGAGTATTACTGATCACATGGGTCTTTATCAGCCAGCATAAGGTACACGGGCACATCTCATCGACTGACGGTTGCACACTTTAAACTTCAGCTCCCCACCAAGAAAAGACTCGTGCTGTATATCTGGACAGCATACATCTGGACAGCATACATCAAAGTTTCGAACGTGCAGAGCTCCGATGCAAGGAGACACATTGCATATTCAGCAGATCCATGCTTTAAGCAATGCAACATGAACATGTCTGTTTTCAAATAAGGTTGATTCAATCCATGTGAGCCGTCTAGTATGGCCCATAATATTACTGGCCGACAGACGAGACCATGGTCTTATGATGACATTATTTTCGCTTCGCCGTGTGGACACGATGAAAGAGGTCTACTTGGCCGTTATTCTCAACGAGAATCTATGCTGCTGAAGATGCAAATTATGGGACACGCTATCTTCTATGTAACCAGCCATTCTCGCTCCGCGTTACTAGGTACCTTTGAACTTCTGCATCTAATCATGTACTATACCAAGTTTGCTTCAGTCAAGACTCCGTATTATTTAACATGGAAAGTGCATATTTCATGTGAGAGTGCCTGGGCTGGGCGGGCAACCAATGACAGATTGACCTCCGAAATTATGTATTCCATCGATCGAGGTGCACAGAATCGACAATCTCGTCTTCCGCCTGCAGTCCGATACGCTTGGTGTTACTGGGACGACCATGGTGTTGTAGGAACCAGTCAGTCACAGCTTACAGGGCGTTGTGTATGTACCATGTGTTGCCAAAACGATCGATTCTTGGTGGACGTTTTGACGGGTGCACAGCCGTTGATTGGTAGATCTGGGGCCCAGGCCGTTGCCTGCCCGTCTAAATGCACTGTAAAATAAGCCCACAGAACCTGACTAACCCCTTTCGCGTTCGGCGTGCCTGCCTGTACCTACCTACCTTAATAACTGTTTGGTGCTCTTGCCTTGCCACCAAGCACACTTGAAAGGCAACCTCAACTCTAATCCAGATCATCCGTACTTCCCATTGCAGCCATTCACCACAACCAAACATCACGCATATTGATCTCACCAGTAGGCATTCTCGTGCCACTGTATCTCAGATTGTCCTCTCTTGCAAAACCCTTCTAATAATTCGCTCGATTTCCCCGATCACCTCCGTTAGGCAACAAGTCCCGAGTCTGAATCCTGCACCCATCCTACACGGCCGTCGAGATCTCAATACACTACAACAAAGACCTTAGCGACAACGTTCCTGTTCCAGCCCAGTGATCCGTGTTTACGAGAACGACGTCTCAGTCCAGCGCACACTTCAACTTCAAGTCCACGGCTAGCTATTGTTTCAAAATTGTACAATTCCCGACAGGGTGTACCGAAGCCCCATTCACGGAACTGATCTTCAACGCTTGTCCGTCGACCATCGAGACCAACGTCGTCTACTCGGCCACTTTCGCGACCGCTGCTTGCTTCCAGCTTTGGATTCAAGAGACCAAAACATCCATCATACTTCCGTGATATCGTGTCATTCTCTGCAGGACTGATCGACTCGATTGTGAAGCAGCTTTCGCAAGGCCGGTCGCTCTCCTGCGATGAGGCGGGGAGGGTGGACCTTTAGCACCTGAAATCAAGTGATTGGGGTAGACGACACATCTTGACGCGTGAGAAAGAAACAAAGGACACAATCAAGTAGATTGGGAGGCCAAGATCATACAGCTGGCTATAGACGCTCCTCAATTCGGCTCGCGCTGTTCAAACAACTCACACCAGTTTCGATTCTCGATACACGGTTGTAATCCCATTACCCTGCTAATCACTGCTTGTCTTTGCTCCACGTCCTACGGGGCAAAGTGCAACACATTCCAACACCGGCTATCTGTGCGAACGGCGCTTCAGAGGACAGGCTGGTATGGATTCTCGCTTTCCAGTGTTTCGAGAAGAACTATACAATGTTCAGATGGACGTGAAGCAGCTTGCTCATGTGCAGGTCAGCCACGCTGAAAGATTGGCTCGGCTGGAGAAGCACCAAGCAAATGAGTCGGCTATCAAGTCTGCCTGGAACTCTCCATTCCCCAGCGCTATCGGTGGCACCCCGCAGCATGGTATGTCTCGGCGTCGCTGTTATGATAATACTTTGGACTTACTTTTGGAATTAGGCCCTATTCAAATGCCCCCAGTCGATTTATTCGATGACTTTGATGAGGAGCAGGGCCAGAACTTGCTAGGCAGCCTCCATCTCGATGCTGAAGAGGAGCCTGTCCGGCGCGGCGCGGCCTCAAGGGCGAACAGTGTTCGTTTTGACGAGAGCGCCCTTCAGGGCTCTAGCTGGGCTCAGAACGGCCGGCAGTCTGGCGAATTTGTGCCTATCCGACCTGGCAGTGGCATGGGAAACATGATGGAACGCACGTATTCCCACAAATCGGATGGCCGACATAGTTCTGCCGGTTATTCTGTGCACTCTGTGCATTCCCATCATTCTGTAGCTTCTGGTCGTGGCAGTAGTCTTGGTCTAGATACTAACTACGCAACGACTGGTTCCGAGGAGGACTCGCCCATTGATGCACCGGCACCGCCGCCCGGTTTTTTCATTCTGGGCTCTGTTCCGTCCATTGTTCGTTGTTGGCTGACAACAAATTTCGCACACGAGACGCTCTTGTATGCAGATATCTGCTCTGGCTCACAGCAATCAGTGCTGGACTATTCACTGATCAAGGAGCTGGAACTATCAGACGAAGTGCACAAGGACCTGGACGGAGTGTATCGAATTCGCTTGCCAGTCTACCTGACTGAGGCCACTGTCACCCACCCGAGCTCAAGAAATTCAAGCCCAACACCGCAGATGCCGAATTTGATTGTTGGCTTTGAAGTCGTTGGACTAGAGCAAGCAGAGTTTCCTGATTTGAAAAAGGGCATCCGCATTTTCATAGGAAGTGAGACTTTGCGAGAACATTCTGCTGACATCTTCTTCTCCCAAAACCGCATGACGCTGTACGGCAGTGAAAGAGAGAAGCTCTCCGTGCCCTTCGTGCGCCCGGAAGATCACAGTGTGTTCAAGTACATTCGTACAGTGGCTGTCCTGCCCGAGAAGCCGCGGCTGAATGCTACAGCGCGTCCTTTCGTCTTGGGTGAGCCCAAGGCGGCGGAAATCTCCAATGAATCTGTCAACGAGATCCAAGAGAAACACGAGCGAGGCGCGCTCGACAAGGAAATACAGTCTCGTGCGCCTGAGGTATCACAGCAACCGACGACTGACCGTGTTACAAGCAACCTGCCTGAAGCCGCAAACGACCGAGACACCCAGGGCAAAGAGGACACTGATGTCTACGAAGCTTCGAACCAAGACCTGTCCGTCTCTGGTGACAATCGCAGTGAGACCACCAGTGACAGCCAGCGCCGTGAGCCAACTGCTAGTGGCATATGGTCTTCTTGGAGACAAGGCTCTTCAACAAACAGTGGTGACCCGAAGGAAAATGCCCCATTGAGCGGATATCAACCACCTGGTCGAGTTCGAAACATGAAAGTCCTGAAGCCAAGCAAAGCCAGTACGTCTTTGTCTACCCGAGCTGGAGTCACTTCGGAGGCGCTTCCGAAATCCAACGGTGAAAATCGTCGTAAAAGTCAACCTGCGGACACTACTCCCACAGGTGTCCTTCGATGGGGCAAGCTTGATCGGGGTTCTGCTTCAGGATCAGACAAGGACTCCAAACCAGCGGCCATCAATGCGGTGCATCGCGAAACCCGGAGCGTGTCCAGCACACCGCGCACTTCTGCCAACCCCGTCGGCGGAGCCTCGGCTTTCTCATGGATGACGCCGATAACTAAAACAAAGCCTTCTACAACCACTGCAGATTAATGCCCAATAATGATTTCTTTGACAATGTGGGGCTTCAAGCACCTTTTTTTTTCCCACTTTGCTAGTGAATGATAAATTGATGTCTTACCTAGCGATCAAGAATATGAAGGAGAAGAGGAGAAGAGAAAAAAAACAAGAAAAAGAAAACAAAATCATATTGATAATAGAATACATGCTATTCTCTATAAACAGCATCTTAACCCGCAGTGCATGTTGTGAATATTATATGACGTAAAAGCATGGCTAACAGCACACCATTTCACTCCCTCCACCTGTTTAGCGCGATTATGCGCATCTCAAAACCTCTCAATATCCCCATTCCATCTCCGAGGTTCACTACCTTGGCCATTGGTGATTGGTCAACACAACAAAACACCATCCCCTGAAGCGCATAGGGTGTGTTCACTTTTAATCGTCAGCAGCACACAAGGGACAGAGGAATCAACGAAAGTACAGACACAATGGACAAGTCCAAGGTAGACTACTCGTTGTATCTGGTGACGGACTCAACGCCCGCAATTCTGGGCAGCAAGGATATCGTAGCAGTTGTTGAGGCTGCGCTCAAGGGTGGTGTCACCTGTGTGCAGTACCGCGAGAAACATGCCGACACGGGCGAGATGGTAGCAACGGCAAAGAGACTACATGCCGTCACGCAAAAGTACAACGTCCCATTGCTGATAAACGACCGCATCGACATCGCGCTCTCCGTAGGCTGTGAAGGCGTTCATATTGGGCAGGATGACCTTGGTAAGTTTCGGTAATGCCCAGTGTTAACACATATACTAAAGAAGCAAGGCAGACCTCGCCACGGCAAGAAAATTGCTAGGGGATGACAAGATTATTGGTGTTACAGCCTGCAACGTTGAAGAAGTGGAGGCTGCCTCAACAGGAGGTGCCGACTACCTAGGCATTGGAACAGTCTTTGCAACACAGACGTAAGGCCTCCCCCCCCATTTGCGAGATGATATGGCGATGAAAGCATCGTCTTACTGACATCCGGCTAAGGAAAGAGAATACCAAGTCCATCATCGGCGTATCTGGCCTTCAGTATCTCCTGGGTTATCTGCGAACGTCCAAGTCCAAGGTCAAGACGGTATGCATTGGCGGTATCAACGCCTCCAACGCATCACGCGTCATGTGGCAGTCATCCTCACTGGACCGATCCCTCGATGGTATCGCCGTCGTGTCGGCCATTGTTGCGGCATCTTCGCCCGAAGGGGCCTCGCGCGAACTCCTGAAACTGGTGAAGACGCCGCCGGTCTTTGCGCTGCGCTCCCCGACCCTGGACCAGGCGTCCCGGTCTGCCGAGGAGGTGCTGTCGCTGGTGCCCGAAGTGGTGCGCCGCGTTGATGCCGCCAAGCCCCTCAGCCACAACATGACGAATCTCGTCGTGCAGAACTTTGCTGCCAATGTTGCTCTGGCTGTCGGTGCGAGTCCCATCATGGCTAATTATGGCGAGGAGGCCGCAGACTTGGCTGCCCTGGGCGGTGCTCTCGTCGTCAATATGGGCACAGTTACGCCCGAGGGTCTCCAGAATTATCAAAAAGCTCTAAAGGCTTACAATGATGCCGGTGGACCGATTGTATTTGACCCCGTCGGGTGCGTCGCCTCTTGAGAATCCGCCACGTTCGAACTATTCAATGAAGAAGCCTTTCTGCTAACATTACAATTCAGTGCCGGTGCAACCGCGGTCCGTCGGGCCGCAACAAAGACGATTCTCAATGCAGGCTACGTCGACGTGCTAAAGGGCAACCAGTCTGAGATTTTGACCTGCACACCGGCGGGCGCGTCGCTGCAACAGCGCGGAGTGGACTCGTCGGCGGACGCATCCCAGACCCAAGACAAGCTCGCAGCCACGGTCCGAGAGCTCGCACAGCTCCGGCGCAACACGGTCGTAATGACGGGCGCGACGGACCTGGTCAGCGCGGGCGGCGCCGTCTACGCCGTCGGCAACGGCCACGAGTACCTCGGCGTCGTGACGGGCACGGGCTGCTGCCTGGGTACCACCATCAGCGCCATGGTCGCTGCGTACCCCGAGGACAAGGTCGCGGCGACCGTGGCCGGCCTGCTGCTGTACGAGATTGCCGCGGAGAATGCGGCTGCCCGTGAAGATGTCAAGGGTCCTGGCACTTTTGTTCCTGCCTTTTTGGACGAGCTGTTCAACTTGCGGAAACAGATTGCTCGCGGTGATGATGGATGGAGACAAAAGGCCAAGTTCAGTATTGTAGCATAGATTTCATGATGAGTGTATTTAAATTCTCTTGAATCTATACAAGCGCTTGGGACTTGACTCTCGCACTCTCCAGGACCGTTGATGACTAAAGGATTATCATTGATGCGCTTGATATACCGTTGGTGATCGAGACATCTGAGATGCCATGGACTACGCCAACCTATTCGACTCGACTTTTTCAATTTACTAGTACTACACAAGGAATAAGGTGTCTGTATATTCAGAAGCGTCTCTCAGTCGTTCATAAGTACACGAAATTACTAGCAACCAGAACTTGCAATCATGGGACATACGTTTGTACTCATACGCAAGGAATGGCTGGGATCTATCCCTCAGCTCGGCACTATGCCACATTGCTATGCAACCAGCATTGCGTTCGGGAAGTAAATATAGATCTGACAGTTTGCCCTGTGGATCTTTGATAAAACCGGCTTAGCTTGACGGAAACTTGGATTATGTTATGTGTTATTGGCCACGAATACACGTTGGAAGTGGCAACTGCAAGACTCTAGGCGAGCTTAACGCATGCTCCTTGCATTGGTAGAGAGTAAAATATTAGGGAAATGGTGTTGACGATGAAGCGTTTCTGCAATCCTCTTACAGGCTACCAAAAGATCAGAGTGCATCTCCAACATGCCTTCTTATCAGACTACTCTGTCCATTGTGGACCAACTCATGCCCATGGCGCACAAATCCATGTGGTTAGTTTTCGAAATAAACGACCAGGAAAAGATTGTCTCGGCTTTATTTTCTGGACAGCATGATAAACAGCTGAGTCAAGACATGTTGGACCAATATAGAGTCATCCTCACACTGAGATTGGATGAAGTGTCTCAGTTTGAGCAGGATGAGCTTTTACGAGCAATGAGTCGCGCTTAGAGGGGTGTATAGATCCAGAAGCAACACTATCTACACCAAAGGAGTAATTCATGGGGCACGAGACTTTTTATGAATATACCAGCACGAGACCTGCGCTCAATACATTGTTTTGTAAACATCACTCAAGACTGTGAGAGGGTTTATGTCTGCGACACAATAGAATTACAATTTAAGTATTAATTATTAATAGCTGAGCATGAGGAGCTCAGTAGACCGGAATGTTCCTCGTCAGGTAGCTGTGCCACTTTGGAAGTGTCCTGCCATACTGCGTTCCGGACTTGAGCAGGAGATCTTCAATGGCACTTCCCCAACGCACCAATTCGGCCTCGGCCCAGGCAGTCTGCATAATGGCAAGACCAAACGGCATCCCCGTGTCGGAAAAGATACCAGCCGGGACGGTGATCATCGGGTATCCGGCCTGAGCAGCTATCTGGTAGGTCTGGCCGACCTCGGGAGGAACCAAAAGTCCCGCCAACTGGGTGCCATTGTAGTTCAGAGCGTAGTCGATGCCATTGCGCGTCGAGGTCTGGCTGAACTCGAGGGCCTGCCAGTATGTCTCGTTTTGAATGCCCTTGGTTGCGACGGAAGCAAGGAAGCCATCCTGACCCGACTTGAAGGCGGCCGAGCCAACCTTGGTGCCGTACGCGTAGCCGCCCTCGGTGCCGTCATTGGCATAGTTGTAGGCAATGATGTCCTCGAGGGAGCGAATCTCGGTGTTCTCTAGCTCTGACAGGTACGTCTTGATGTTGTTGTAGAAATCAACCTTGACCACTGTGTATTCCGACTCGTTGGCAAAGCCGCGCGTGGTGCCCCAGTCCCAGTCCCACCCATTGGTGCTGACAATGGTCTCGTAGTCAAGGATCTCCGTGTTGTTGACAATGGTGGCGCCGGCCGCCTCCATCATGGAAATGATCTCGAGAAGCTGCGTCTGCTCCTCCTCGGTAGCATACACCCAGAAGCTGTTCCACGGAAGGCCAAAGACTGCACCCTTAAGGTGGCACTTTGTGGTCAAGTACTGCGCATAGCCACCAGCGGGCGTTTTCCCTTCCTGACCAGAAGTGTAGTTGTCGCGGGAGTCAATGCCGTATATTCCGTCTAGGGCATAGACCGCGTCCCGAACAGTCTTTCCAAAGGTTCCAACAGTATCTTGATGTTCACTCTCGGGAACAACGCTATTGGATGATTGTTAGAAATGCATGATAGACAAGACTGCCAATGGAAGACCTACCCAGCCCTGGAAGTCAGTCCAACAGTTGGTTTGAAACCAACGATACCGTTACGCTCAGCTGGACTGATCACTACTCATGTGTTAGGGATGTGCCCCTGATATTTCGATGTTGAAATAAAAAAAACTCACCACTGCCATCCGTCTCAGTGCCGAGAGAAAAGGCAACAGCATTAATAGAAACAGCCACACCGCTGCCTGAGCTGCTACCACCCGGGTTCATGGTCAGATTGTATGCACTTCGGGCCTGGCCACCGCGAGCAGAGTAGCCCTCGGAGTAGCTGTTGCTGCGCATATCGGCCCACTCGCTCAGCGTGGCCTTGCCGAGAAGGACGGCGCCAGCCTCGCGCAGGCGAGCCACGACAAAGGCGTCGCGGGGAACGATGCTTCCGAGCAGGGCCCAGCTTCCCGCTGTCGTCTCCAGGTTGTCCTTGGTGGCAATGTTGTCCTTGACGGTGAACGGGATACCGTGCAGTGGACCACGAACGCGACCTGCAGCTCGCTCGGCGTCCATTTGCGCGGCAATAGCCAGAGCATCCGGATTCATCTGCAGCAAGGAACTATCACATTGAGTATCAGTCTCGTGCGTGATCTGTTTGCCTTTCTTATCTAACCTACTTGGCGTAGTCGTCTGTCTGAAAGTTACGGACCATGTAACACACGACGAGCTGGACAGAAGTCAATGTGCCCGAAGCCATGGCAGCCTGCATCTGGTCAATGCTGGCCTCCTCGAGCTCGAACTCGCCGCACTTCTCCATGGGGAAGAAATTGGTAGTGTCGGCATTGGGCTCGGACGGGAAGAGCGACGCCGTGAGACTTGGTCGCACATAGCCGATATCATCTGGACTGGCGACGGCCCCGACGCCCGCGAGGCAGGCGGCCAACATCAACGAACGGCGCATTTTGGCTTATATTGAAGCTGATCGACGGCTCTCTGGAATCGGCGTACTGTTGATTGTTTTGAAACAGTGATACGTCGCCGATGCACATAATATAGCACCGAGAAGCTGGAATCGCTATCGTGCTCTCGACTACAAATGATCCTTGGCCTTCATCGATAGTCTAGCGGACTACCGGGATTGTAGACTCCACAGATGTTAGCCTGGCCGGGGTTGGAGATAGCAGCTTGGAAGGGGCGTCACGTCTTTTCAGCATGCATAACCTGAAAAGCAATCATACTGAGTGTTCCTGCATAATAAATACTTGGCGCGTACGTCACTACACCACAGCTGCTGACTTCGTGCTTTTTGCATCGTGTTTTCATAAAGGTAGGGACGTCCCTCAGATCACCCATCATAAGTAACCATAAATAATTGCCTACCGATGGTCATGAGTAAAGTACGAGATGATCGCCGTACTGTGACCATCAGCTTGCGTGGTATCGCCATTATTGGTTCTATAGGCAATGAGTTCCGAACATCAGTCTCAGCCGCTGAATGCACAGCAACCGAGCAAAACAAGAAAAGCTCCCATGAGAGGAATAGGTATGGGTAGGACAAGTTGGCGGCGAACGCCGATAACTGCATTTTCTAGCTACGCGTTCAACTGCCTACTGTGATAATGGTAATGCGTTTATGTAAATCAAAAACCAAGTCCAAAAGTCGGCTTTTCAACCTCGGCGCTGACGGAAATCAGAAAGCCAAATTATCGACAGTCTCCGCAATTCATACTCGTTATCTCTCCATACCATAGATATGGATACCTTGCCAAGGGAGGAGCCGGCCGGGGTTATACTAATTAGCTCTTGGTACGGGATTGAGCGCAGCCAGCTTGAATCAAAGCATCAGCCTAGCAAGCAGACGCGCTGCCTGTGTTCGCGTGGTTGGTGCAGCCCACAAAGTAATTTAGTAATGCTTCATGCAACGTTAAGAAAGTGGAATGATCTTGGAATACTTCGTTCTTGTGTAGCCATATTACTATTGAAGGATTTTCCAGACTGAATCTCCCGAAATCCTTTACCCTATTCATAAACATGAATCATCATCTCTGAAGAGAAACCCATTATCATATACATAATCGCAATCAGCTACACCCGACAGCCACATACGATACTCAAGGAGTATAGTATCTCGGCTCGTCAAAGACGTGATATCTGTGACCTCTCACACCCTCGCCTCTAAAGAGGGATGGAAATCTCCAGCCCTCGGGTATCGATCCCTCGTCCACTCTCCGATTTCTCATGGTATAATCTCTGTCCATGTTGGACACGAGCGCTTTTTCCGCGTCGTTGGTTGGTATCACAAACTTGGCAACCTGTAGTTCCGTATCTGTGATTGAATCTCTGCTCACGCGTGCATATCCGACACGGTGCAGATGCTTGTAGAGAATGTATTCGCACCAGCGATCCCAGTCGGATGGATCCACATCATGCATCCCCGAGGTTTGCGATACGTATTTATTATAGTTGCCCAGTAACGGTTGCGTGACAAGATAGCTCAGCAGGATACTGGGCCGTGGCGAAGAGCCCATCAGCTCTGCCAGATACTCGCTCTGCAATCTTCGGTCTTCGGGGTCCTCTTCTTGTCCAGAATGGAAGACGAATACATCTACCAGCTCTCCGTAGCAGTCCAGTGTGGCGTGAATCGCTGGTGCCAGCTCGCCTACGGGAGATGGCAACAGGTGATGCGTGGAATTGACAATTGGGAACTTGGATAGCAGTGCTGCACCCCATGTGTGCTTGTTGGGACCTGGGCCATAATCGACGTACATGCCCAAGTCCTCAGCCAAGAACTGTGTTGTATCTCGGTTGCCCATGATAATTCGCTGCAGGTCCGACTCCAGTAGACCGACAACGTCAAGTTCCAATTCCTTGATCAAGTCCCGCATGCGATACTCTGATGAATACATGTCGTTATCAATCGAAAAGTGAATGGTCCAGATGCCGGCAGTCATTACACGAGACTCCTCGTGATAAGGCTTGTAGTCGCTGCTGGGGAGTCGATAATAGGCAGAGATGAGGAAGAGTATATTTGTCAAGGCGAGGGCCCAATCGTGATACTTGCGGTGCTGAGATTGAGTGGGGGCGGGCCTTGGGGATTGTTGGGCACTGGCATTGACAGCGGTCAGATCCCACACGCCAGCGCCAATCAACACCATCATGGTGCTCATGACCCAATCCGTGTGTTCGCGCACCAGGGGGCCACCCGGAACAAACGCATAAGCGACAACCCAGACATGAAATAGCACCACAAAGTTGTAGATGAAAAAGCCCCAGCCAAAGGTTGTCGCAGGGCTCTTCTTGGCGGCCTGTGTCAGGATGGGAACAGCGATGGCCATGAGATAGAACGCTGTTGTCAAAGCGCCTGCATATCCGATCCAGTTGTGTCTGGTGGTAAGAATTGCTGCTCCAACACTGCCAACACCAAAGGCCGACCATGTACTGACGAGTTTGGGTCGGGTTATACCAGTAATGAGCCCAAGCGACATTGCTGCCAAGGTCAACCAGCCATGTGCTGCAGATTGAGGGCCCCTGACGGGGTAGCCCTCCCATACCCAAAGGATCATGGTACTCGTGTCTGAGAGTAGAGAGTGTAGACCAAAGAAGAGGCCGCCAACGCCAAGGGCAGAAAGGAATGCAGAACCACCAGTGCGGTCGTCCTTGGCAAGACCCGTGTTCAATGGAGCTCTACGAGTGAATCGCCAGGCAGCAATGACTGCAAGAGTGAGGCCGATCTCATTCTTGCCTCCGTTGCCGGCGTGCATGATGGGCCAAATGGGGTTATTGGTCCACCATGCAAATTTTGCTGTCGATGAAAGAATCAAACCGACCGTCCACGCAAAGATCCTGGACTCGAGCCTAGTTGCGTGGACATTCTCGGAGAAGAGGGTAGCGGCCCATGACAAGCAGGACATCCAAACACCGAAACCGACAGTGAATAGCCGGTATACGGGATCCTTGACGAGCCAGGCAACGAGACCAGCCAGTGACAGCATGTGGCAGGCTCGCAAGTTGTTGAGTACGAATGATCGAAAAGATTTGTTGGCCAACAGGAATGGAGAAGTCGTGGACATGATCAATGCCTCGTATCCTGAAATGCCCATATGCCAAAGCGGAAAATACCAAATAACGACACCAAGACTGGTGAGTGTAGACCAAAAGACGAAGCCATGGTATACTTCAGCGGCAGTATCGAACAATTCTTTCAACGAAAACTTTGCGTCAAAAAGCCCACCTGTTGCTCTGGTCTTTTGTTTTGCCAATACCCTGTTGGTTGTTGGGACACGTGCTTTTTCTCTGGGAAAGGGTCAGTACACATGAATCCTCATAGACTGTTAAAAAAAATCAAAACTAGTCGAGTCTTTGTTGAAGGCGCACTCGCTCAGGCTGTCTACAAATGTCTGCTTCATATCGTTTCCTATTTCGTCCACGCGGCGATCCCTGTTTTTCCGCAACGCAATAACAAGGTCAGTGCAACAAGCACATCGCTCGCTAGTATCCGGGGAGTTTCCACGGAATGGTCTCACCACCTCGTAACGGGTAGTGACTGCGTTGCATTGGACTGATGACTCGGTGAAAGAAAACGGAGGATTCCAAGACATGCTGTAGTCCATTCGCTTCCGGTACCAGCATCGGATTTCCGTCTTCCTATCTCTATCACCATGTTGCATGCGATACGTGTCTGGGACCATCTCTCGTCTTATTCTCGGTCATGTTGAAATCTGAAAATGAGCAGTTTCGAGCAAGACTTTTTCTAGGCCAGTCCGAGCAAGTGCGCGCAATACGTCGACTCATCGAATCCAAAGAGGAAGTTCTTGCACATACCCCTGACTAAGACCTCCAACATCTCTGACGACAACTTCAAACGTAGAAAAGTCCAGAGCCGTTACAGCGTCAAACGCGACATCGAAGAGAATAAGGGACCATTCAAAAAATGCATAAGTCGTGTAGGCTGTTGCAAGTCAATATCGGAATCGGCACATGTTTATGATGTAAGCTGAGCCACTCACCGCCAGCAACGCGATGTACTTTGTGCTGAATGAAGAAATACACCAGCGGGACAAGAGTGCTAAAGAAGGCCGTAGCAAGGTACTTTCTGTACTTGATCGCTTTCGCATTCGGAGGACTGAGGGCAATGCAGCCAAATGTCCAAGGGATCGTAATGACCAGGTAAGAAATCATGAATATGTCGTGCCAGTCATGGTCGTCGGTAGATGTGATGTAGGTCCAGCCGCCACAGGTCAAGGTGCGCAGCAGTCCCATAGAACCAACAAACTTGGGCAATGTCTTGCCTGGCTTGGCGGTAAGAAGATACCATAATCCAACTAATGCAAATCGAGGACCTGTTCAGGACTTGCACATTAGCAATGACCTATACCAATGTTTGTCGTCGCAAACCGCAATGTTTGTTTATTTCCACCGCCCGTTGCTATGCACGCGACCAAGATCAAGCCATGCAGTGCTCCACATACCGGAGGTTATCGCGATGAAGAATTGAAAGAATGCGCGCTCGGGGTATCGATCGCCAATTGTGGCCGAAACGGAGGGAAACCACTCGTCGGGGTATCCGTAGAACTCATTCTTGACGATTTTGTGGTAATGGAGAGAGCAGCCAAGAACAAGGGCGCTGAGAAAGGCAGCTGGTAGCAAAACATTAGGTCAGTCGGGTCTGTCGCAGTGCTCTGCCTAGGTATGTTGCAAGCCGTGTAGCTCAACTGGAGATGCATTTTCCCATGACGATATGACAATGGTACTGGGGGGCTTGATTGACAGGTGGTGCACGGGGCGGGAAGAGGTAGGTACTGACTGTATGCCACAAGTGTATGCATCCAGGAAATCCATTTCGCGTTGAAGGAGAGCAGAGCCCCGCTGGGCTTGTCTTTGTACGTCGATGGCGCCATGATTTTCGAGGTCCGACAGCTCGAGTCGCCGCCAGTGGGATGATCTGCTTAGGAAGTGCGATACATCGACAAAGAGACGACAGACAGGCGGCGGGCGCAAGAAACAGAGGAAGAAACAAAAAAGACCTGTCCTATCCTAAGCAAGCGGAAAACAGAAAAGAGAGTGACGAGACGACACGACGGCAGGATTAAAGGAACAAACAAGGGACAGGATTTTATTATTATTATTTTTTTTTTCTTCTTTTGCTTCCTTCGCTGCCGGATATGGCGCGACATTGGCTGGGCCGTCTGCTGATGAGAGCAGTTATTATTTATTAGCTTCGGCATCCTCGGTGTCGCGCGCATTCCGTCATGTCATTGCCATGGCCTGGGTTGCTGGGCGGGAGCTTGGGCCCCTCCATAACAACCCCAATTAATCCCTACCTCCAAGGACAGTAATCGAGATTTCCATGCCGTCCACTCCGGCAGCTCTGGCCGAAAGAGTGGGCAGGGCGGTAATGTAGGTCCTCTGTAGACTACGACTGCGCTGTTTGCGTCTCGCCGAGCCTCACCTTGGCGGCTTGGGTTGGCTTGGGTACAATGTAGAATGGAAGTGGTGGAATACGAGGCTGGTGGGTTTTAGTGCACCATAATACGGCGCTTGTGCACCTATTCCTACCTTAAAGCCGAGCTGCACTTTAAAGCTGGGAACGGAACGATAACGGCTAGCGCGACTGATAACCCCCACCAAGACTTGTTGGCTCCACTAAAATTTCCGTCGCTTCACTGAAGTGCGCATGAAACTTTTCAGCACATTGGCAGCGCTTCACCACCAAAACGATTTCAGATCAGCAGCCGCCTCGCCTTGCATTCCACCCTGTTTGAATTGTAACGGCAACTCGACAGAAAATAGGGGCGACAGAGGCCTCACCCTTCATCAAAGATGGCTGCCATTTCAGACAAGGCTAATTTCTTCCTCGAGCAATCTGTGCCACAGCTCCGCGAGTTCGAATCGCTCTCCATCTTTAGCAAACCCGAGATCACCTCTATGGTCAAGAAGCGATCAAACTATGAGCATGTCGTTCTATCCCCCGGATCCCTACCCTCCGACTACGCAGACTACATCCGATGGGAACGTTCCCTCGAGGCTCTCCGTGCCAAGCGCTGCAAGCGTCTCCAAATCCGCAAGTCGAGCTCACATACTGGTGAGGGCAGGATATTTGGTCTGTACGAACGAGCAGTCCAGAGACACCCAGGCGATGTGTCCATGTGGAAGGAATATCTCAAGTTTGCCGCGGAGGTCAAGGCTTCCAAGAGGTGGAGAAAAGTCATGAGCCGCGCTCTGAGAATGCATCCCAACAAACCCCAGCTTTGGGTCATGGCAGGACGCAGAGCGGCGAGCAACGGCGATATGCAAGGAGCTCGAGGCTTCTTCATGCGCGGTGCGCGGTTCTGCATCAGGGATGCCACCGTTTGGATTGAGTACGCTCGCTGTGAACTTGAATGGCTGGGCCGCCTCGAGGCACGAAAGGGCAAGAAGGGTGGCGTTCAAAAAGCAGTGGCGGAACAGGCCGATTACGGCGACGACGCAATCATGTTCGGTGATGAAGACAGCGACGAAGATGCCGACGAGAATGGTCGGTTGGTGCTTCCGGACCCAGATGCCAAGGGTATCAAGAAGGTATTCGACGATGGGGCCGTCCAGAATCTGGCCAACAACCCAGCACTCGACGGTGCCATACCTATTGCAATTTATGATATTGCGAGAAAACAGCCCTTCTTTGGCGCTGTCGTGGCAGAGCAGTTCTTTGAGATGTTTGCTGGATTCTCGAATGTGTCGGTGCAGCCAAAGATCATTCATCATGTCCTCGACAGCATGACCGAAGCATACCCCAACACGCCATCCACCTGCAGCTGCCACATTCGACAGCCGCTTATTGGCATTGATGTCAATTCTGCCGCTTACCCCAAGGCTTTACGGGAAGCGCTGAACAGGCTGAACATTGCACTGGGAACGACTACAAACAAGTCTCAATTGGCTCAGAAAACGATTGCTTGGATCGAGCCCATCCTGGCGGTGGAAGATCTCGACGCTGGTATTCGCATGGTACTAGAACACACGGTCAAGACTTTGCCAAAGCCTTGATGAGACTCGTGTCGGTGATGATACATTCCGGCTCAAATCGATACATTAAGACTTTGAAGAGGCCCCAAATACTTCAAGCTGTCTTACTGGCGCCGCCCCTTTCCTCAGCAACACCAGTCAAATACGTCCACTCATCCTGGCTCACTCGACTGACACTGAGTCGGCTCTGCTTCAACAATTGCATACTCTCCAGCGGTGAACCCATTTTCCCCATTTCGCGCAACTCTTTCAAGCCAATGAGTTGCTTGAACTTGCTGCGAAATTCGACGTGTACCACGCTCCACTTGGGATCTTCTGGTTTGGAAGATGCGTCGTAGTAGGGAGCCTTGGGATCATGCGCCGATACTGGATCCAATAGTTAGCAGATGTTGTCATACAGTAGAGGAGTAATATTGGCCGAAACAACAGACTGGTGCTAACGTACAGTCGGGAGAATGCTCTTGCACTATTTCCATAGTGCCAACAATACCCGGCTCCTTGCAATTAGATTGATAGAAGAAAGCAAGGTCTCCCTTCTTCATGGCGCGAAGATTATTCCGAGCTACGTAGTTGCGTATTCCTGGTCGCTTGTTAGAAGATACCCAAATAAACAGATTCTCTACGCCCTCTCTCTCCACTCTCATCTGTTTAGTCCACTTACCATCCCACGGCTCTGGCTCGGTCTTGGCCGCCAGGTCATCAATAGAAAACTTGACATCGACGCCATTCTCAAATCGAGATTCCGGCTCTGCCTTGAGAAGCCAATATGACTTTTCAGAGCTGCCGCCATTGACAGTGTCTTTCTTGTCCTTGGCATCTCCAGCTGTTTTGGCCGCCTTGGGCGCAGACTTGGCCTTGGCCTTGGCTTTTGTCACAGCAGTAGTTGGCGTCTTCTTTGCAATAGTCAGTCGTCGAGTCTGGCTGACAATGCTTGGCAGTGATTTGGAGGATGACGCCGGAGAAGGAGCCTATCATCATGTAGGTTGGAAACGGCAAAAGCCCTCGAAGGGGGGGAGGGGAGGGGGGATCTGCATCAAGACAAACTCACTTTGGTATCATTGTCCTCATCTTCGTGCTTGTCAGTCGTCTTGCGGGACTTGGAAGGCGGCTTTTGTGTCTTTTCATCATCGTCTTCTGCCTCGCGCTTGGCTCTGCCCTTGTTTGCCTTTGTCGCGTTCTGCTGCTTCTGCTCCTGTTGTGGGGCCGGGGCCGGGGCATCAGCGGCGGCAGCTGTAGCAGCGCCAGACTTGCGACGCGTCGAGCGTCGGAGTTCCTGCTCCGGGACGGCTGCTGCTGCTGCTTTCCTCTTGGGCATTTTCGCGGCTCAATTATTGGGTGCAAATAATCCCGACTCAAATAATGTCCAATGGAAAGAAAAAGGAAGGGACAATGTTTATGTGCTCCCCGAAGCAATGAGCTTGACAAGAGGCAGAGGCAGAGAGAAGTGAGAGAAGTGGCTGGCTCGGATAATGGGGTACTTTAGGTTCTAGACTCTAGTGCACCCCCCGGACCGTTGCGCTTGTGGAGATCGCTATAAACCCAGTGTCGTGTTTAATTACCCGCCAAGTTAGCAAAGGTTAGCTCTTCTGTTCTCAACTCCTGATTCGAGATTAATGGTACACCTGTAAAGTCCAATCGTGGCATTTGGTAAATGTTTATAGTTCAATAACGGCTTCGTCGCATTTGGGTTGGTTCCTACAAGGGCGACAACCCATCAATGACCGGCCTGAAGGCTTGATTGGAATAAGCTGCGCAGAACAGCGCACTTCTCGGCATTATTTTGTAATTCTATGAGCATTATACTATATTCCTGCTACTTTCGACATTGGAAGAACCGACAGGATCAGAATCTTGCGGAATCACAGAAGGAAAGAACAATACATTTATCCATATCCAAAACTGGCCGTCTCGAGCTGTCACTCATTTGCACTTGGTCGACACTGTCGGTGAGTGCTGTTTAGCACGCGCCATTGATATAGGAACCCCTTCGTACGATTTGTCGAGTCTCCAGAGGCATCTTTGCACCTTTGTTAGACTTCTCGCGGAAAATTGAGTGTTGCCCAAAGCGAAAACTCCGTCTGGTTTGATGAGATTAGTACTCAAAAGCCTGATGCGTATGGTGCAGAAGCCAACTGGTAGGGGCACTTTCAAATCTGTAGGTAGAGCTCAGCGAAGAATCAATAAATAATTTGAGCCTTCAACACAAATTTGGTTCGCAGAATTACCTATGCACTTATCACAAGACGGCTTTCTTTTTTTCTTTTTTCTCCTTTTTTTAACATCGCTTAGCCGGTGGCTACGTACCCTGATTTGAAGAATTATAAATGCTAGTCAAGGTGCTGATTTCCTATTGAAATTTGAATCGGTATCATATGAATCATTACTATTTACAGGAATATGACAATCGAGCATAATCTGTAGAGCTTGAAAACCTACAAGACTAATAGTTGAGTGTCGTCGTCCGCTTACCCTTCCAATTCCAACACCTCTTCAATGTATAACACAGCTCGGTCATGAGCAACATAGAAACATCAGATTGTTCCCCAGGTTTATTTGATCGAAATAGCCTCAACGAGGTGATTTTGTTTCCCTGAGTTATGAGGGGGCCCTAGGCGCAGGACCTATCTGGCCAGTCTCCAGGATCCTTTTCCAGCCGCTAGGATCCCTAATCTCTGATGTAGAAATAGCATGAACCTGCTCTTCGTTGGCGTAATTGTGTATATATGACGGCGAAATCACACGGCGATGATGTCCTTCGCGTCTTGGAATCATAGGGACTGGACAACTAAATAAGTTCCAAATTTCGGTCTTCTTGATGAACTACAGCTGCACGTTCCATGAGTACTGGGCCTTGGGACGTTGCCACGGCAAGCTCTCCGTATTTCAGGGTTTTGTTCACAAGGAGAACGAATTGACCGAAACGCGGTACTGGAGTGGGCTCATCGAGGTTGCCAGTGGAGAGCTTGATGATATCAAACAACCAGGGAAATGAAGGGCGTTGTAAACGGAATTTGTCGAGGCCTAGTAAACATCCCAAGAGTTGACCAGGAAAGCAGCCACATCGGCCTTGGGTATAGGGGCGATGCGCCACAGCGCGGCTGTGTTGTGTGGTACCCTTCGGGTGACATAACGAGAAGGGTTACTAAGTCTGTTTGTTCACATATTGTTTTCGTAGTCTTAGACCATCTTCAATTTTACTCTTTATTTTTGATACAGCTCGTGTCAAGGGGAATAGGTCCGAAATTCGAAGAGCACTGTTAAATACTAGCACAGCATAAAGGTTCCTTTTTGTGACTGGAAGTACACAACCACGAGTTACAAGAATGTACCGACATCTATCCCTTGTCTACCCTTGTCTACCTGGCTGTTTGAGATGTTGAGTCCTTTGCATTCTCATTAGCATCGGCATAAGCGTCGACATATGTCTCGGCAAATTTCCTTGCAGAAATGTTTCTCCCAAATAAGATGTCCAACTCTTCATACGTGCGACCTTTCATCTCCGGGAGCCTGAAATATGCCCATATAGCGGAAATCAAGCAGGTACCTCCATAGACAAAGAATGTCTTGCCCTTCAAGTTACCCGCACCGGGGTTAAGCATGTATGGTGTTACAATGCCAAAAATGGTGAACCAAAAGTAGAACGAGCACCGCCCGATCGCAATAGTCTTGGCGCGGAGTCTTGTTGAGCCAACCTCGCTTACAATGCAAAATGCTAGTGGTCCGACAGATACATCGTATAAGAAGACCCAGACGACGAGCAGGATTGACTGTGCCCACATTGACGGCTGATTAGAAGAGGGCGCGATGGCGGCGAAGGCGATACTGAACATGACCAAGCACATGAGTGTTAATCCAACGATGAAAATTCGTCGGCGGCTGAAATGAGTGATCAGAAACCACGAGAGGACTGTGCCGAAAAACCCGATGGCATAGTATCCCAAACTGATACTGAACGCTGTTTCGGAGCTGACACCAGCCTGCTGAAAGAAGTAGGTGTTGTATGAATTCATGGAGATACCAGCGAAGACTTGAATGGGCCATGCGCAAAGAGCAATCTCTGTCCTCCGCAGATCGGTTCCCTTGAAACAATCCCAATACGACTCCTTGGATACTTGGCTCTCCTCCTGATCTGTGCGAAGCATCATGGCAAGAGTCTTCTTCACACTACTCTCACCCCGAGCTGAAAGCCGTTTGAGTGCATGCTCTGCGTCCGCAATGCGACCTTGCCGTATCAGCCACCACGGTGACTCGGGACAAAAAAGCATGCCGACCACCAAGGGTACCGGCCACACCCACTGAATCGCAAATGGGATGCCATAAGCCCACCTGCCCTCTATTCCTTGCACGGATCGAAAGATACCGGCCGAGATCAATTGTCCTACCACCCAGGTCAGGTTGATAAATGTCGTTAAGTAGGCGCGCAGCACAGTTGGGCAGACCTCGGCGGCGTATTGCGGCGCCGTGGCATTGAAGATGCCCCAGGGTATGCCACAGAGGAATTGTCCGACCAAGAGAAGAGCCTTGCTGTTGGCAAAGACGAGAACAAATGTGAAGGCCGCTATCGCAATATATGCAGCTATCATGGTCTTCTTCATGCCAATCTTTTCGGATATGATACCGTTTATAAAGATGCCGATGATGACACCGATATAAGCAGCGTTGCCAAGCAAAATCTGCCACAAGGCAGTGACTTGGTAGCCACCTTCGATTGGTTCACCAAAATCCTCTTGAAATGCTTTGAGGGCAAACAACTGGCCAATGACGGCCATGTCGTAGCCTTCCATGACACAAGAGACGGACACAAGAACAGACCACCCGACGGCTTTGGGGTATTGTCGCAGAGCGTCCATGAGGGTCATGTTGTGCTCGGCCTCGGTGGCTTCCTTTGCATCGTTGAATAAGTCCCCTGACGGATCTCCATGGCGCGTGACTGCTTCAACCTGGTCGACGGAAGGAGTCTGACAAATGACCTGATCCTTTGCAAGTGTCGTTTCGGCCATGATCTGTACTTTGATATTTCAGCATGGACAATAAGTGAAGAGAAAATTTAAGCCAATGAATCCTGCAAAATATTACAAGGAAAGTTTGAGAACAAGTTGAGGTGATGAGATTTCGTAAGTCATTCTAGGAAATATTCTAGCTTATATACGTTGAAAATTTATCCCACGATGACACTGACTCGCCCAAGCTGATCCCTTTGCCCTCCGTGCAATATACTTAGGTATATAATGCTCATTGCTGCCATGTGCTTAAATTTCCCCATGGGGAACTAGACCTTATACCCCAGGGCTTGGTCATAGTGTGTCATGAACCTCCAAGGTGCGGGATCAATTGCTTCAGTGGGATAAGCCGCGCGGTCTGGATTGACAAGGCATCTTATCTAACTTAGTGTTGTCTAGGTCATACTATGTACGTTCGGATTGGATATGGCGGCGGGACCACCTCACCTTGGCATACTCCGGCCCCCAGCCACTAACCAGCGGAAAGTCCGAGGCCAACTCCTATACCGCTAGCTCTACTCTCTGCGGATAACTGCTTGTAGAAACTACCGCCGCGATACCATCTGTTTTCGCCACCGCACTAACTCTCCAGAAAGTAGTGTCATGTCTAAGCACTTGTTCAGAGGCACTGTCTAAGCCAGTCGGCATATATTCAGAATGTTAGAGTTCTACACGTATTTCTGAGCGGCAAATTGTGAAAAGATATGATAGGTGAGGGTACTAGTTGTTGTATTAGTTGAGTTGTTCACATCTAACAGAGGTTGAATGATCAAAGATATATCCATATGTGGAGAAGCGCTCCACTTATTCCTACACCTTGACAGTATTCGGTTCGACTGGTTTGATTAAATTTACAGGCTGGGCTAGCTAGAGACACCCTGTAAAAGGTCGTACACAGGATCATAAGGCCTTATGGCCAAGGTATCGGAGTCAGGTGTGGAAAGTGGAAAAGGGGCAATTACCATACATCCATGAACTTCATGGATTCGTTCGATACGCTCGAGTAATAACTGCAAAGGTGCAGATGCTATCAACGCCACTGTCGCAGTATAGTTTCGTGGCCCTCTAGTGCAGAGGAACGAAGGCTACCCTCCCAGATGACCTGTCCCTTCTTGGGATCTTTAGCCTCCGAGCTGTATTGTCCAGCCTCTGAGCCATTGAGATAGACGCCTTTGGGCTGTGCAGTGAGCGGTGGCGGACCGCAATCGAAAGCAGCCGCAAGGACATCACGAGCAGATTTTCGCGGAGTGCGCCACGAACCATTCGGGTACAAATATACCAGCATAGTACCAAATATGCCAGCAAATACTCGAAACACTAATACACGAACAAACCAGTGACTGTGGCGAATGATACCTGTAGCCATGGCACCCGGGTCGATTGCGAGTACCGATATCTTGCTCAAGAGGGGATCCTGATCCAATCGGCTCTGAAGCTCATGTCTATTCAAAGTAAGAATTGTGAGATTTGACCAGCAGTCGTCGGTATATTGGAGCATAATTGTAGTTCAAGGCCAAGAAACAAAAGAGATGAGGACATACATCATCGCCACTCCACACATCTTAGAAGCCCCGTAACGGCGATATGCAGCAGCCCAGGAAGTGTTGTCATCTGCATTTGAGCTCCAGGTTCCCTTTGCGAGAGGTTCGAGGTCATCAAAGACCATAGTCTTATATCTGTTGTCTTTGAAAGAGCCGTTCATGATATTGTGTGGGTCTTCGGGACTATCGAGTGTGTGTAAGTACATAAAATTGCTAGGCAAAGAATATGACAAAACTGACTTTTGGGCCCAACTACTGATCCAAACAATCCTTCCTCGCTCTCGGTCAACACTTTGTAGTAGTAGAAGTGTCAGGAGCCAATGACCAAGGTAATTGACCATAAAAGACATATCCAGGCCGTCCTCGGTCCATGTCTGCCTCTCAGCCTCTTCGTAACCGGCATTGAGGATGATGGCAGTAATAGGTGGAATACTCCCCACCTCGACCTGGGCATTGATAGCCGCAGCAACCTCGCGCACGCTCTGAAGTCGCGAAAGGTCGAGCGACACCAGTTCATAGGAATGGAAAGGCGATGAGGAGGACAGCTTTTTGAAAGTGGATTTCGAAGATGCAGCATCCCGCACAGCGTAGATGCCGTGGTGGGCACGCAGAGCGGGCGTTGAAACGATTTGGGAGAAAATGGCACCGCCAAGGCCTCCACTCGCGCCCGTAAGTAAGATAGACATGGCGGGCGTCGAGGTTGAGTTGGGCGTTGCCGAGTTGTAGAAAAGATGCAATTCGCGAGTGGAGAGTCAGGAGACTTGATTCGGCGGCAATGCAAGTCCGACTTTGTTATCAGGGCAAGGTGGCCGACTGCCTTAAGGTAGGTTGCTGCTGGAAAGGTCCCAGGCTTTTTGGTGACACAGAAATACAGCCCTGTTTTGTCGTTGGTGTGGCGTTGCAACTGAGAAACCAACCGGTACCTTCATGTTGGTACGAGCAGATGCACTTCGGTATGCAGGTAGGTAATGTATGTTGGTACATGACATGTTGGTCCAAATATTGCTGCACATGAGTGGGGAGTACCCACAGCGCTATGTAACACATCCCCTGCTCGATCTGGTCGTCCAACACGCCCCAATTGGCCTCAACTTATGTACTGTGTACTGCACATTCATTGTTATTCCGTACTTTCTTATCACTCTGATGCTACAGGTCACCGACCGCACGGCTCAGGACAGCCAAAAATCCCTAAGACATACGTCTTGGCGTCAGCATCAAATTGTTTCATCTCATTCAACAAAACGAGTTGGGAATTTCTTTGCAACTGCCATAGACACCGTTTTTGGCACTGGTCCTTCTAATGAAATCAAAGGAAACAAACATGGAAGAATTTGCCCCACTGGTTCCAAGTTCCAATCTCAGGGTTTTTCCTTGTACCAACACAGGCATAGGTAGGTAGGTATGCAGCTATTTACGACTGTGACTTCTTTGCTGCCCAAGTGGCCTTGACCATCTCGGCGCATCGCTCTGCAACCACCAACACGGGCGCCATAGTGTGGCAGCTCGGGATCTTGGGGAACACACTCGTGTCTGCGATCCTTAGATTGGTAAAGCCATGAACGCGGAGTTTCTGATCGACCACGCCATTTTTCTCGTCATTTGACATGGGGTACGTGCCAGAGAAGTGTAGACTCGTATGACTGACCCTCTTGAGGTAATCGTCAATCTCATCATTAGTGACATTTTTCCATGTCTTATCTTTGCCAGATCTGGTTTGCGGTGAGATATTTCGATTGGCCTTGGAGCCGACTTGAGGTGCTTGTTGGCCAGACACTGACGATGCGATCGAAATCGGAAGCGGAAGGTAGTCGATGGGTGCACTCTTTTCCCATTCCTCCAGCATAGAGGGGTCTTGACCGGGAGCGAAGGCAAGCTTCGCAGGATATGGGTACTTTGACTGTTGCAGCTTCTCAGCCAGTCGCATTAAAAAGCGGACAGCCAGTCTAGCTGTCGCGATATCATGCTCGTTGGTAAACATTGGGTACGTGATTCGAGGTTGCACCAGGGCATCCGTGCTGGCCAGCTCTACGCGACCGGACCCACGAGGCTGCACCAATGTAGGATACAGGGACATCAATGTACGCCCTTCAACCTCTCTCTCGACCGAGCTGTTGGGCATGAGCATGACCTCAATGTCGGGAACGTTGCGAGATAACGATGCATCAAGCATGTCACGTCCTTCACTGTCGCGGCCTTTTACTTCCATGGTATCTCTGTCAATCGCGTCGCTGTGAAAATATATGGTTTTTGACATGGAAGTAAAACTCAACAGGCCTTTTCCGAAGAAAACCCAGAGCAGGATATGCCAGACCCCCCAAATCGACTGTAAAAGGTGGAAAGTTTCCTTTTTAGGAACTTCTAGCATTATAGGAATGCTATAATGGTCTGATAAGGTGGCACCTACTGCTGGTGTCTCTTTGATCAGGGGTATGCCATGTTTTTTGGACGAATCTGCCGGTCCAATACCACTCAAAAGAAGGATTTGAGGAGTACAGGCTGCTCCAGAACAAAGGATCACCTCACGGTGTGCCCTTACGTAGTAATGGTTGCCGGGTTCCTTTACAGATTGGATATGAACACCTCCCACGGTGCCTGTCTCCACGTTGACTTCCAAGCGTGAAGCAGCTGCACCGGTGCAAATAGTTAGACGATTGCGCCTTTTGTATGCTACTTCCCTGATGAGGTATGCCGTAAGCGCAGAGATTCTGCTCCCATGCTTGTCGATAGCTGTATCAAGATTGAAGCATCCCATTGCGGGCGCCGAAGGATCGTTGATGTCCTTTTGAGGACGGATACCAAGCTCCTCGACGGCCTTCTCAAGACTGTGAGATATTAGATGTGCACAAGGGTAGGAATTACGAAGCAGTACTTACTATTTGGTCCACTTGAACGGGAATGAGTATTGTCGAAGCTCAATGGGTCCTAGGCAATCAAGATATGGTTAGCGAAAGCGACGAGAAATTAGTTGAGTGCACTCTTGCAGAAGAGAAAGTCATTACCTTTATGGCCCCTGAAAGAGGATTCTGGGTGTACAATGGCGTTCTCAATCTTGCGGAAATACGGTTCAAGTTTCTCGTAGCTCCAGTCCTGCAAGCCCAGCTCAGACCAGGCGGCATAGTCTCCGGGGAAACCACGCGTCCAGAGCATGCCATTCATACGAGAAGCACCGCCAATGCCTTCCACTGCCCAAAGACGATTTCTTCGTCCGTTGGCCCCCGCGATAGGTTCTGACCATCGGTTGCTCTGAACCTGTAAGAGGTCGCCAAGAAACATATTCTGGCTCAAAAGTGGCATACGCGAGACCATGTTGTCTTTCACATATCCTTTATCGATCACAAGAACCGTAACATCAGAGTCCTCAGACAAGCGCGCTGCAACAGCACACCCTGCAGTTCCACCTATTGCAACAAAAATTGAATTGTTAGTACTCAATCACGCAAGCATTTTGACAAGGTCCTTGAGGACTTGCAGCCACTTACCTCCAACGATGATATAGTCATAAGTCTTGCCATTCACCTCGGAGGGCGAGTGTTCTGGGTAGGATGGGAAGGGCCACATGGTGGACAATATGGAATAAAGACGATGGCTTCTAGTATAGTATTATGACTCAAATGACTGTCGGGAGTCGGGCGCGTTTGCGAAATAATACCAGAAATATTAACAACGACGAGAGTTTTGCTGAATATGGATTTACAAGCTAAATGCAAAAACAGCGTCTTTTTACAGACCCTGCTGCTGGCACATATAGTAAGGGCTTGTTGGTGAAGAACAGTTGGCGTTGGGGAAGATGATGGTCCAAAAGGCTACCTCTGGCGTATGTCACAAATGGAAATGGCATGATGTATCAGATACTAGGTACATAGGTACTTTGAGTATGCGCCTGCACTGCTGCCAGGCACGATACTTCAGGCAGTCACCTCCTAACCTTAAGTACCTAGGGTCGGGGGCCACGGCGCCTAAGGTCCGTTTATTTGCTGCCTGTGTGTGGCGTCTAGCGCCCGAACAGCAAGAGAATGCCAAATAAAGCTTATTCTTAGAAATCAAAATTTGAGAAAAGCACCAGCTTCTTTAAAATTCCACGACTGCATTCAACTCACTATATATAAAGTACATCCCCTGGACCCTCCTTTGCAAAGATATGAGAAATAGAAGAGAAGTTTAACAGATACCGAACTTGTTCAAACAGACTCTTCTACGCTGATTGGTAGGATCGAAGCAGATCACCTTTACATGTACGCTTTCGTGATTGACTTCTGGCCAGATCTAGTGTGCTTCGCTTGTCGGATTGTCTCTGTATTCTAACGTTTGACCCTTTTTTATCGCCGTCGACGGCTAAAAAAGGAGGCATTGGCCGTTTACGTTCAACATCGTTATAATAATTTTTTACGTCGTTCAGCAGCTGTACGATTTCCCGGTGTCC